ATTTTTATTTATGAGAGCTAGGCCGTTGGCTAAACATGCATAACTGTTATAATATACATGTATGATTGGCTCGAAAATCATAAAAAGGGCTTTGATCGGCAAAAAATATAATATTTTGGCATAATGAAATAGCGCATGGGCAATCATATCATATCTATTTTATTTAAATATTAGCATGAATAACAATAAATTCCTTGTGTGAAGAAAAAACCGGTTGTAATCTGCATCTGAGGTTTATTGCTAAATTTGACAAATATTTTGATTAATTGTTTACTGAAAGTCAAATGGCAAATATTTCATGCAATTCAACAAGAAACAAGTCATTCCTAAAAAAAATTCTGTCAGCCGTCAGATCGAGCAATCCCGAACTAGGTTGAAGGTTGAAAGTTGTTTTTAACTTTTGAATTATTATAAAAGGTGTAACAATTCATCTGTCTCGCAACCTGATACATGCTACATTGTATGTAGAGGTCATCATGTGCATGTAATTATTAAATTCTTTTAGTTCTTAAAACATATTTGATAAATTCGTTAATAACATTTTTCTACACTGAGACGATAGCGATAACCATAAATATTCTTGTAACATTCAATAAAAATTTACAACTTAACTTAAATTTCAGTGATCCTTCGCCATCTTACACACTACACGCGCATCACATTATTTTCTGCAAACACCCAACTTCAGGTACATGTAATTTTTAATATCGGATATTTCCCGATTTCAAAGTTCCAATGACTAAAACATATTAAACAAAACTGAAAATAATCTTGCCCTCTTTCCGAATGCAGTTAATTTTCTTTTGTCATTCTGTTAAACATGGACTGATTTTTTAGATCTTTTCAGCTTTTGCCTTCATTTATTGAACGGAAACAAGTGTAGTTATTCATGTGGCGATTCACAAATAACCACGGGAGTTTCCTTTGGTAGGTAGAGAAGACACTCAATACCAAATCACGTGATAAGACCAGCTTCGGTAAACAGAATAGGCGAAGGCGGCATCGCAGATACCCAACAAAGGAGTTATCACGTACTTGACAAAAACAGTCGGAACTTTTTATTTTCCTAAAGAAATCAGTGGGATGCGAATTTGCTAATTTTTCGATGGAGTTCCAGTCAATATAATACTTCCATGATGAGAGTGATTGCCCTTAAATGAAGATTTTTTTTTACCCTCTTTTGTGCTTTGAGCAAAACTAAAGAAGACTGAGAGGAACTGAACAGACTAAATGATCAGCAAAACAAGATCAACAAAATAGAGATTTTTTTCATGAATTCTATTCTCATCTACACTGGTTTGAGAGTGTTCTTTGTTGAATATGCACATAGACTAGTTTCAAATAAAAAAAAAAGTGGTAGTCTGGCAGTTTTCTCATTGAAATACCTGTTTGCTAAAGGCAGAGGTATATATCTGTTTACTGTAAATTCAGAAATTATTGCGATGTTTTTATTTTTGCGAAAAATGCGACAACGTTATTATCGCAATAATTTAAACTCGCATTTTGAATTTTTTTATATGAAATGAACAGGATATTTCTAAATATCGCAAAAATTTAAATCGCATTTTAATCTAAAATGACAAAATCGCAATAATAAATGCACGCAATAATTTCTGACTTTACAGTATTAAAGATCAGTAAAATGTAATTTACACAAAAAACCCTACACATCATAAAAATCTTGCCACAGAGTTGCACCACCTCGGAGATCTCATGGTAGTGAGGTCACCTCAAGTGTGGGAAGTCCCTGCCAGGTCAACCTACAGACTTGAAAATTTTTATTTGCTGCTTTTCTGCTTAAAATGAGACATTTGAAAGCAAGAGCAAAGATTGGTCAACTCAAGAGTCAGAAACATATATAAGGAAAGGGTGGCTGTTACCTTGTGAACTAGCTTGTTTAAAACCTTGGCTCAGCATGTTGGATGATTACAAAGCAGGGTTCATATTCATATCACATTCACATATTCTCATCCTGAATGGCATTTAATTTGCCACTTGACGTGCCAAGCGGCCATCCATCATCATCATCATAATTTATACTTAATTATATCTGGCATTCTGGCTTCAGTGCTATAAAGTTAAATCAATAACAATAAAACCATTTAAGCTAAGAAGTTTTTTATCTAATATGAGGATTATGTATTCATCATTTAAATGACTAAGATAAAATTGGACACAACCACTGACAACCTTTCCCAACACTGGAGAGATACATTATACGTGGTGGAAAACAAAAGGTATTATTAAAAATAAGTACAGAGAAAAGCACTTATCTCTAAAAAATTGTATAATAGATAAAAAGAACAACCACAACAGTTATTAACAATATCAAAGAATGCTAGTAGTTTCTGAAAGCAAGCTCCTACTTCACCTACTGATATGTGATCATGCTCCTACACTTATGAGGATGGCAGACTAGATTTCCGACAGCAGTATCATAAAATGAACAGGAAGACAAAATTTTGTGTAATGCCCAGAATAAATGTGTAAAGATGACACGATCCATTTGTAACCTTTATCAGTACGTCTATTTAGTCAAAGAAAGGATTTGTAGAACAATTCCTATTAAAATTGTGCCTCTGTTGTCATGCTTAGCATACCCACTTTCAATTCAAAGTATCAAAAAACATGAAGTAGGAGTCTTAAAAGAACCAAAGCACACACACATTTCAACTCATCATCGTTGGGCTTCTGACCAAATAGTTTTGTGAAGAAATTTTTAATAGTCATTCAACAGTAAAAATTCCAAAGTATCAACAAACAGTAAGTATGTACATGTCAGTTTGGCATGTTTCATCATACCTTGACATCATTTTCATGGTTCATTGGTCAATGTTAAGTTTTTGTGTTTTGGTCTGGGTTTTTTTAAATACTATAAGCCATAGGTCAACTACATTTGGTGTATGGAATGATTGTAAGGTTTACATGTCTGTCAGGGTTCATCTGACATTGACCTCATTTTCATGGTTCATTGGTCAAAATTTGTTTTCCAGGTTAAGTCTGTTTCTTAGATAGTATCCTATAAGCACTAGGTCAACTATATTTGGTGCATAAAATGATTGTGAGGTGTACATGTTTGTGGGACATGTTTCATTTGACCTTGACCTCTTTGTAATGGTTTATTGGTCAATGTTAACTTTTCTTAGTTAAGTTTGTTTCGTAGATACTATAGGCAATAGGTTAACTATATTTGGAATGATTGTAAGGTGTACATCTGTCTGGCATGTATAATCAGACATTGACCTCATTTTCATGGTTCATAGGTCATTGATGTTATAAGCAAAAAGTCAACTATATTTGGTGTATGGAATGATTGTAAGATATACATGTCTGTCTGGCTGGGTTTATTTGAACTTGACTTTATTGCCATCTTAATCATTGATAATGTTAAGTTAGTGATACTAGTAGTAAAACCTTTATTTTTTAGACTGTTAACATTGATTAAATCATGGTCAGTAAAGCAGGCACATTTCAGCGTGTACAATCTTGTTTACTAGAATTTGGTTAATACAACTACTGTTGGACTGCTAGACCCTGAAGGTATCATCAACCCAGTAGTGAGTGCTTCAGCACTTACATGATTTATAACATACCTTTCTCAAACTTCCTTTGATATAAAAAACGTATAGTTCCAACTTCCTAAAGCAGTGTTGACCCTCAGTGGATTGGGCTATACTTTGTATGTCTCTATTGGTGATATAACTTCTCATGCTTTAAAGTATATATACATTATTGGCTTTCAAGTGTTTGTATTTGAGTGTACCTGATGAAGGTAAATCCAGACAAGTGTTTTGGAGGCATTAAATTATATAGAGTGTTATTTTCATTTTCTAGCACTTAGCCCAATACAACTGCTAATGGACTACTAGTCCCTGTTGTTGTCATCAGCAGTGTAGTAAGTGCTTTGGCAAAAATGAAATGCAAAATTTTCCTTGTACAATGAGTGTTGTAAAATTTCAAAATATCTGCAAAAAGGAAGTGGCAGCAAGGCAGATATAAAAATTGATCACTCACTAAAACTGAACATATCAAGCTGAAAAAAAAAATTATTTATTCCCTTCAGTATGAGCCAAGAAAAATTTGACGAAAAGTTTTCTTATACAATGAACGCTGTCAAATTTCAAACTATCGGCAAACAGAAAGTTGTTGGAGGTGGATGTGAAAATAGCTTAATCGCTACAACTTAACATTATGAAACTGCAGACCAAATATTAAATCATTCTCATCAATAGGAGCAATGAAAAGTTTGACAAAAATTTTCCTTGTACAATGATGTTATAAAATTTCAAACTATAAGCAAACAGGATGTGAATGCACAGCTGATGTAAAAATTGCATACTCCCTACAACTTAACATTATCAATCTGCAGATTAGATATAAACCATTCCCTTTGATAGAAACCAAGAAAAGTTTAATCAAAATTATCCTTGTACAATGAGTGTTGTAAAATTTCAAACAATTAGCAAACAGGAAGTGGTTGCAAGGTGGATGTAAAAATTGCTTACTCCCTACAACTCAACATTATCAATCTGCAGACCAAATATATAATCATTTCCATCCATAGAAGCCAAGAAAACTTTGATAAAAGTGTTCTACCCTAGGTCTTACTGACGGATGAATAGAGGGATGGAGTGGAGCGGATACTAGATTTGCATTCAAGTTCGGTAAAAATATTAAGATACTTATGTCCAACTCACTCTGACAGGGAAAGTTGACCTCGGATGAATTTGGTTCTCCTTTTTAGGGTTTGAGAGTTCCAGATGAAGGTATATACAGAAAATGCTATGCATGGACCAAATTTCCAAGTTTACTTTCATTTTCTTCCACTTGGTCTATACCACACTATAACATATTTTGATCTGAGCATTCCAGAAGAATTTAATTCAGAAAAGTGCTTCAGTAATTATTTTTTTTTTTAATAGTAAATTTGTTGGATCATTTTATACAAATAAGAACTTAATCTCTTTGGACAGGTCACTGGGAAAATGAAACATAAAATGTTTACTATATTTAAAAGCATTTATATATAAATAACAATTGTATCTAACTAGTCAATAACAAAACGAGTATAGAATTCAAACATTGTCAATCAGAAAGCATGCATTGTTTCTACAACTACAGTGGTGAGACTACAAAACTTTATAGAGTAAGTTTCATGTCCACTGACAGTTGATAAATACACGAATATGCATATCATATCAAGACACAAACTTACTGAGTAACATCAGATTATTTAACCAATTAACAATGGCTAACATACATTTTTGTTCATTTTTTAAATAATAGTCAAAGGGAGATAATCATATTTACATTTGACAGCAATGTTAAAATTGTCAAAATAAAATCCTATCCCATAGGAATAAAATAGAAATAAAACATGTTGATAATATAACTCTTTGCATTATTTTCTCTACAACAAAAACCTCATATTGATATGTATTTTCAGATAGTTTCTTTCTGGCATTTCCATTTTTTGGAATCTCATTCATTCTATATATCAGCTCAGTTAACCATATGTATCCCTCCTGTCTCTGACTAGAATAAATCTTATAATTTACACTCAATTTTTCCTGAAATCTTCAACCATGATATTTCTTCTCAAAACAATCAATGGCACATGGATTCTTTGAACACAAGTCTTTGGGGGCACTAACCACATCATTCTATAAACATTTTTATTCTGTATATAACAGAATTACAAACTAAAACCCAACATCCAATACCAAGTCCTCCTGTAAAAAATAGCAATAAAATACATCAGAGACAATTCATTTAACATGTGAGAACCAATATTACCAAGGGTACTCTAAGAACAGGGAAGATAGAGAGAATGAATAAATACACTTATACATGCAGCTGATAGACAACAGTTACAACTTTTCCATTTTTTTTTCTATTTATATCATGGTTTATATATATTTATATAAATCAGCATGCTTTAAATAGACATTTGAGCTCAATTTTCCTCAATTTTCATTAAATCACTGATGATTGAGGAAATAATTGTAGTTATTTATAATTAGTCACATATTATTTGTTTTACATTTAAGAATTATTAAATTACACACTAGAATTTTTATGTCATTAAAAAAGAAAGATAAACCTTGCCTGCATATCATTTCAAAATTATTGGAGAAACATATTTTGTGTGATTCCATATTTCTGCAATCTGGAGTTAAATTTTAAATTAAATATTCCAAACACTTGGCAAGCCTTGAACTTTAAATTTGAAAGGAGAAATATCACCTTACTCTATGTAGTGGCAGAAGCTATATCTATGTTGTAAATGTACCCAATAAACAAGTTGAAATGCTATCATTTTATTTATCTGCTTGATACACAAGTCAGTATTGCTAAATGTACCCCATATGGCATTAAGAATATTAAGTTTCATAAATCCTTGTTTTAAAGAAGTGATACCATCATGAACATCTTTATTCTTTTGTCTTTATTGATTTCTTTCTCACTGGCAACCATACCACATCTCCTTATAATAAAATGCTTCGCTGGGGCGCAGCTTGATACGACCGCAGAGGTCGAACCCTGAACAGTTGGGGCAAGTATGGACACAAAATTCAAGCTTGATACAGCTATGACTTTGGATTGTCATTAAATATTTGACACAGCATAGGTTTCTGACACAGGATGAATGTGGTGTAAGAACTGGAAAAAATTTAATTTACCTATTATGGTGGAATATCCATAAACTAAATTGTTTGTTAATTTCAATATATCAAAGAATATGTAGAATTCAATGTTTGATGTAATGTAATAAAGTTGAAATTTGGACCGTTTTTGTTCAATGTGGACAAATTTGGTAACATGTATAAATAATCAAAAATCTAAATACATGGGAGCCCATTTAAATACATCATAAAGGTATTAAAATAGAAAGTGACATCATAGTCATGGCTAAAAATAAACAAAAATCCTTAATCAGCAACATTTAAAGTAATATCTAAAAATAAAATTCCTTTGTAACCATAAAAGCCCATTTAAATACATCATAAAGATATTAAAATAGAAAATGACATCATAGTCATGGCTAAACATAGCAAAATCCTTAATCAGCATCATTTAACAGTAATATCTAAAAATAAAAATTTCTTTGCAACCATAAAAGTAAAATAGAAAATGACATCATAATCATAGCTAAAAATAAACAAAAGTTTTTTTATTGGCAAATTTTAAATGGAGTTTATTATACTAAAACAATAAATTTGCAACCATAAACATGATAAAACCCCATTTAAACACATCATAAAAGTATTAAATAATTCATCTACATCATAAGCTATAAAAATAGAAAATGACTTCATAGTCAAGGCTAAAGGTAAACAAAAAACCTTCATCAGCAAAATTTTATATTGGCAAATTTCCAATGAAGTTTATTACACTAAAATTGTTGGCAAATTTCCAATGCATTTATTAACAATAAAGTTATTGGCAAATTTCCAATTTACATAATTTAAAAGCAGTGTAGATGAGATATTTAAATGAGTTTGAATTACCAACCTTACACTGCTTTTAAATAATGTTCTTTACTCAATTATTTGTCTATTAAAATGGAAACCCTTGTTTTTTAACCTTTTTTCCCCTTATTCCTTAAACATTAGAGCCATAACCCCCCCCCCCCCCCCCTCCCCAAAGCCAATTATTACTTTCCAATGTAACTTAAATTTCCAATATACATAATTTTAAATTTCAATTCCTCATGATATATAACCGTATCATTATTATTTTCTTTCATATATAAATCTGAAACAACCATCTTTAAATGGAAAATTTTAAAGAAAAAAAAAGGAAAAAAAAAAATCCTACCTCCCACACATTTTTTCAACCCCCTTTTGATTCATCATCCCCCACCTCAATCACAACCTTCAATTTGTGGTATGGTACATTGCAATACAATTTCACAGAGATCCATACACTTGAACACAAGTTTTTGTTGCAAACTAAAAAAATCCTTATTTTTGACCAATATTTGGCCCCTTATTCATAAATGTTTGAGCAATTAACCCCAAAACTCAATTCCTACTTTCTCTTCGTGATAAAAAATAACTAACTTAAAATGTAAATTTTAAACAAAAAAAAAAGGAAAAAAAAAAATTACCCCTTTTTTGACCCCCGCCCCCCTTATGATTCATCACCCCCACCCCCCTTTCCCCCCAAACCAAGCTCAATAACAGCCTTGCCTTTGTGGTATGGTACCTTGTAATACAATTTTAGAGAGATCCATACACTTGAACACAAGTTATTGTCTAGAAACTAAAAAATGCTTATTTTAAACCCCTTTTTAGGCCCCTTATTACTAAACGTTTTGGGCAATTACCACAACACTCAATTCCAGCTTTCCCTTTGTGAAATGGAACCTTGTAGTAAAATTTCAGAAAGATCCATACACTTACACACAAGTTATTGTCATGAAACTAGAAAAATGCTTGTTTTTTGCCCCCTTTTGGCCCCTTATTCCTAAAATTTTGAGGCAATTAACCCCAAAATCAATCCCAGCATTGACCCTTTGTGATATGGAATCTTGTGGTACAATGTCAAAGAGATCCATATGCTAACACACAAGTTATGTCTGGAAGTTACAAAAATGCTTATTTTCGGCCCCTAATTCCTTAACTGTTGGTACCATAACCCCCAAAATCAATCCCCACCTTCCTATTGTGGTATTGAACCTTATGGTGAAATTTCATAGAGATCCATTCACTTAAACTAAAGTTAGAGTGCGAAAACCATTGTGTATTCGGACGACGACGCCGGACGACGACGACGCCGGACGACGACGACGACGACGCCAACGTCATACCAATATACGACCTCAAAATTTTTTTGCGGTCGTATAAAAAATGACCTCTCCTTATTTGTATATCTTGTTTGGTAGATGTAGGGAGAAATAGTATCTTTCTTGTCCAATCTAATCTCCCCAGAATATTTCCAATCAAATAATTCAATATAATAGCCATGGAACTTATTATGGCCTCTAACTTTTAACTGTTGACTACACTTTTACCAAAATTCCTTGTTATTTAAAAAATGTGCCTCATGTCATGAATGTACCAGTGGGATATTGTAACTTAAAAAACTGTTGGAAATGCTACTTTTTTTGCCTGTAAAATTTCTTGTGTATGAATGTACCATAAGCACCTGTGGGAAATGCTACTGTTTTGGACTAAAATTTCTTAAGTAGAACATACCTGAAACACCTGTGGGAAATGCTACTATTTATGTCAGTATAATTTCTTGTGTATGAATATACCTGAAACACCTGTTGGGAATGCCACTATTTTTGCCAGTATAGTTTCTTGTGTATGAATATGCCTGAAACACCTGTGGGAAATACTATTTTTGCCAATATAATTTCTTATGTATGAATATACCTGAAACACCTGTGGGAAATACTATTTTTGCCAATATAATTTCTTATAAAATTGAGAATGGAAACGGGGAATGTGTCAAAGAGACAACAACCCGACCAAAGAGCATGAATATACCTGAAACACCTGTGGGAAATGCTACTATTTTCTGTACTGGATAAAACCATTCTGGGTGGAACTGTAGTAATGGTTCTTGTCTGTATGAAATCATTAATGAAATCATTACTAAAGCCTGTAAACAAAATAATGGTGTAAAATAAAATACAGTATAACAATGAATATATCACAAAACATAAATTATTGGTGTCAAATAAAATACAGTACATTTTATAACAAGGAATATATCACAAAACATAAATTATTGGTGTCAAATAAAATACAGTACATCTGATAACAAGGAATCTATCACAAAACATAGAACTTTGGTGTAAAATAAAATACAGTACATATTTGATAACAATGAATATATCAAAAAACACAGAAAAAAAAGAAGTAAAATAATAAAAATACCGAACTCCAAGGAAAATTCAAAAAGGAAAAGTCCCTTAACAATTGGCAAAATCAAAAGCTCAAACACATCAAACGAATGGAAAACAACTGTCATATTCCTGACTTGGTACAGGCATTTTCTTATGTAGAAAATGGTGGATTAAACCTGGTTTTAGAACTTTGCCAGATTAAAAATCAAAATTACTTTTTAACTCTACAATTAATTTATTGTTCTGCAATTAGATTTGATGTCAGTCCTAAATCAATGAATGACAAAAAATCATATGGTGACTTTGCAAAACATTTTTTTGTAAAAAAAAAAAAAAAAAGAATTTGCTGAATTTATGTTGGCCATTTACATGCTTGACTCTGTCATATTCCATACAATGTAAATTTACATATCTCCTGATTTTTGTGTCTTAATCCACCATTTTCTACATAAGGAAATGTCTGTACCAAGTCAGGAACATGACAGTTGTTTTCAATTCGTTTGATGTGTTTGAGCTTTTGATTTTGCCATTTGGTAAGGGACTTTTTAGTTGCAGCTTGATTGACATACCTATACAAAAAAATTACCTCTCCTTTAATTCATTAAAAATGATAAAAAAAAACCTTCAAGTTGTTTGCTCGATGATAATCTCTTCAATTCGTAGACTGATTCTATCAAAGTTTTAACAGATGTTTTATAATAATGAACTCCTAGGAAACACACCAAAGAAAGGCACACTGAAGAATACTTACATGTAAAACATAGATGCCTATTTGTACTGCAAAACCAACCATAGCACATTTGTTGTTTCTATCTGAGGCTGAAATTACACAAAATATAAAACAGTTGTTATTTGAACTGCTAAACGAAACATAGCATATTTACTGTGTCTGTCCAATGCTGAAATTACACAAAACATACAAAACAGTTTGTGATTTGTAATGCTAAACAAATCATATGAAATAAGGATATGTGGTATAATTGCCAATGAGACAACTATCTAATAGAGGCCAAATGACATGCATGTAAGCAAATATAGGTCACTACATCCTTCAACAATTAGCAAAACCAAACCATATAGTCAGATATAAAAGGCTTATGTTAAATTACTTACAAATTTTAGAATTTGAACATTCCTGATGAAAATAAATGCAGAAAAGCCCTTCAGACACACCAAGTGTTGTTTTCATTTTCTAGCAATACCGATGGACTACTAGTCCCTTAGAATATTATCAGCTCAGAGCTCAGTGAATGGTGCTGAATCATTTATAACATACCTTTCTTAAATTCTCCATTCATAAATTTAGAAATTATAAAGAAACTAAAGTTCAAACTCCCTCAGGTAAAAGCAAGAGCTCCTAAATTATGGTCAGCAACATAGTTTTTATAATTGATTAATAAGATACAACATATATCTAAAGATTACAGTAATAAATTTGAAGCTTCTAATCATTTTTTTTTAAAATAAAATCATTGATTACTTTGTTGTTTAACTTGAGTTAACAATTTATCAATTTTCCTCTGTATCTTTGCATGTCTGGCAAACTCATCCACCATATGTACCCCATCTTGTTCTGTCTTCAGATCTTTAATCTGTGATCTTATGTTCAGTTCTGTATCACTTACAGGGTATATCTTCTTACTCAGCTAAAACATAAAAATAATCATATATTCATTTCTGTACAGATCTAACCAAATGTTTGTTAATTCGTGTGGAATGCACATTTTTCACATTGCGATCAGTTTTCTTCTGTCAGCTGAGCTATTCAAAACGTCCATAGTTATTATCTTAAGAATATGGAGTTCAGTCACAGTTGGTTCACGTCTGATCCTTAATTCTTCTATAAATATTTCAGTGGCAGACTAAGAAAATTTACAAAATAAACATATTGTTTGGCAAGCAGCTTGAAAAGGAATATAACCTTTTAAATGCAATAAATGGATGAAGCACCAACTATAGGCAATTTTCATAAAGTTCTTGTATATGAAGTAACAAATTTTGATGAAAATCAGAATGTTATAATGTATGCTCTTGAGTAGCCAGTAATGGAAGTGAAAGAAAATACTTCAGAAAGAGTTGTTAATTTTTCTTTGAAATAACATACAACCAATCTATTAAGTCAATGCTTTCACCACGTTTCTAAAGAAATAAATAGTTGTTGTCTTTGAATTTCTTTACTTATATATATGAAAAATTGCTGTTTCATCAACTTGATAAAATTGTAAAAATGGAGAATTGCTGATGATGAAATTGACTGTTGTGAACAGCCCTGTCTTTAATTTGTGCCTATAACTATACAGATACTGATAGCTATGATACATCTAGCTACTGATAGCAATATCTAAGTATACACATATTGACTCAAACTGCAGATATACATAACTTGTTCAGTTGAATGAAATCAACTATACATATAGGTGTCTACCATTTTCATGATTGGTGAAATGTTAAGGTTCATCATAACAATTGGACAAAAATGGCTGTTTTTACACCAGGAAAATTATTTACAGACAAAACATTTGCAGTTGGATGTACACCTCTGAGGAGCCAAAAATTTCTAGAATTAAACTTTTTTTCTTAACCTGATTTTTGGGTTCATATGACTGTAAGAAATTAATTGGTGAAGAAAAAATCATATGGTGGTGCACTTCTTTTTTTGCTACAGCCCTTTGAAAGTACCCAATTTAAATGATTTTCCCATTTTTCATCAATTTTTACCTATTTTTGGGCTGTTATCATGAAAAAAATTACAGTTTCACAATTAAACTTTTTTTCATACTTTCACTAAAGATGAAGTGGACCAATCTAAATAAATTCAACTTAAAAATACAATAGGTTGGTGTTAAAATTAGAAAGTTTCATAAAATTTTGTTGCTTTTTCCAGTCAAATTGACCATGCTGTCAATTTTGTAAATTTGTGATTTTTCTCTTTTTTTTTTAGAACAAAAAGCATCTTATTTCAACTTCTTTGTTATAATTGATTGAAAAAAAACATATCTAAGAATTCTGAAAAGAAAAAATTGATATGGGATGTATGTATTTTGGTAAAATCATTTCTTTGTACTCCTCACCCATTTTCTCAACATTTTGGCTGATGACACTGACCGGATTGGTTATAAAATTTCAAAATTTTATTACTCAAAAACTACTTATAGTAAATAGATGAATTTTTCACAGAGTTTAGTTTGATTACAATATTTTTTAAATTCATTGATATTTTCCACTTGTATCACATAAGAATACGATCATCCTAAAGGTCTAGCAGCCACTAGTTTATATGTAAAGCTTAAATGCCTTTTGTGTTTCAGAAAGTTAAAATCTTTTTTAGGATTGTTAAAACTTTTCCAACTATTCAAGTTTGTTTGTACCAGAGGTAATTTGTTATGTGTAAAAACAGCCTAAAACATGTGTTATGGTGAACCTCAATATATAAGTTCGTTAAAAAAGATATTTTTTAATCAGAAGAAGAAAAATTGAATGCTATATGGAATGATTCATACTTGTTTAGAAATTATCTGGGTAAAATTCGACATAATATTAAACAAAATCACCAAAATTAGAACTAGTATCAGCAAAAACATTTTTTTTTCAGAGAATTATTCAACGTCAACCACTATCTTGCTTTTGCTCAATGGTTTGTGTTACTTTAAAGCGCTTTGAAGATGGTAAATGATGTGTTACAGACGACTAAAATTTTGTTAGGATTGTTCATTCTCAGAATCATTAAATAGGTTACTCAAATCCAAACTAACAATTTAGAACACAACATATAGCCTGTCTATTAAATATGCACTTTAAATAGACGTCAAATGGACGGTTTTAATATACAATTTTTGAATTTATTCATATTTCCAGGAATATACTTTGCTTTCTTTCAAATCAAATATAGTAGTTTATCAATGTTCAAATCTCATGTTTTCTTTTATTAAGAAGACAAATCAAGGTAACAAACAAAAACTTAGGGAATCCAATGGACCCTATAGGCAAGGACGTATATTAGATAGGGAACGATTCCGGGTGCGTCTGATATCTTATGATATACATGCAAATAAAAGTGTAAGTAAAAAATATATATAAATAGAATAGTTTTGAAAACAAAAATTTACGACAAAAGATATGATTTCAGCTTCCCAATCAGTGTGAACTTTCCATTTCTATGTAGCAACATTTCAGCAGTGCCTGCATGCGGAGTATATATCTCTCAGTTGATACGATATTCTAGGGATTGTATTTCTTATCATGATTTCCTTGATAGAGGGTTGCTGCTCACAAGGAAGCTATTAAACCAAGAGTTCCAAGTGACGAAGTTGAAATCATCCCTTTCACGGTATATTTTACGGATGCCATCACGAGTTCGTTGGCCGTTTTGGAATATCCGTTTCACGGATAACAATGAATATGTTCCAATTGTCGTAACTTCAATCCCGTCACACCCTTTTCCCCTGTATGTGACCTATCGAATTAGACTTATCACCGGATTTGTACTAACACGAGCAACATGACGGGTGCCACGTGTGAAGCAGTATCACCTGAGATCAACCCCCAGTTTTTGGTGGGGTTCGTGTTGCTCAGTCTTTCGTTTTCTATGTTGTGTTTTGTGGGGGGGTTAAAATAAATTTAAAATAAACAGGCTTGATCCTTTTTCTGTTGAAAAAATGCAGGATGTGCCATTCCATTCCCCCATTCCCCGATTCCCCCTTAAAAAATAATAAAAATTCAATATATATGAATTCAATAACAATATAAATGTATAAAAAGAATGAATTTCCTATTTCATTAGTGAATGAAATGTTATGAAAAAATGGATTTTGTCTTGTTATTAGATATATATATATAGGCATATATTTTGGATTTTAAAAAAAAATTTCATGCTTATAGGTTTTTATATGTCTCTAAAAGTGTTGATCAGGATTAGACACGTGTCACAATATGATCCAATCGCAGCTTACCGTCCAAAATTGGTGACATAAGTTGAATGATTTTCTTCAAGATTTGCTGCCTTTTTGAACATGTATTACACGGACACTTATTTATAGGATCAATCGTGCATTGGTGAGTTGATAGGGATTTTATCTTTTGATTAGATTTGATTTTTTTCCTGTCTTTTTTATTGAAATATAAACGTCGGTACCAGCATTTCTTTACTTTCAGCATTGTCCAGAATACTATTCATGTCCATATATTGAAAAAAAGTACATCTACGGACCGACCATTTAGCTTCAAAGGGGGAGTATTTTTTTTCTGAGTAAGAAAATTATTTTATTGATACAAATGATTGTTTTACATGTCAAAACATATAGTTACTTTATTGTGCTACAATTCATTGATTATTTTCACAGATTTTGTTGAATTTTCGACTTATTTATCATTTAATTATATAGTGTTTCTATTTGTCTAGGTTTTGTAAAATAAGTTTTGAGATTATTATTTGTACTGGGCTTTAACCATAGAGCCACTTGGTCTTTTCAGACCTGTCTGCTGCTATTTATAGAGAAGAAATGACAATATATGTTAGCTTTTTATGAAGAGCTTTCTGAAACCTGAACGTTGGCTAGCTAGCTATAAAACCAGGTTTAATCTACCATTTTCTACATTAGGAAATGCCTGTACCAAGCCAGGTATATGACAGTTGTTTTCCATTCGTTTGATGTGTTTGAGCTTCTGATTTTGCCATTTGATAAGGGACTTTCCGTTTTGAATTTTGTTTGGAGTTCGGTATTTTTGTTATTTTACTTTTTGACACCATAGAGAAGATGACACTGCATTTTAATGCATATAGGAGGGTGTGGATAGGGTTTCAGTGACAGAATAGAGAATAACGGAAAAAAAATTAAAGAATAGAGAATAATGGGATGCTAAAATATAAAGAATAACTGCAAAAATAAAAGAATTAGGTAAAAATATATTGATTACAGAAAAGAACAATGTCCAGAATACAGTTATCAAGTAATTACAGAATAGCCATTATTTTTAAAGATAAAGAATAATGAGCGAAAAAATTAAAGAATACAGAAATGAAGGACCCCATCCTTACCCTCATATAGACAAGATGTAGTTTTGGTAGTTTTAAGTTCTGCAAAGCCAAATATGAAGGATCAGAAACTCAGGTTCTGGGTTCGAACTGTTTATCATCGCGGCAGACAGGGGTAAAGAGTTGGAAAAATATGTCGAAAGTGACACAGAAAATACAAAACGTTGAAGAAACCTCCTGTTACAATGTATTGCTTTTGCATTTTTCAAAAGTTCTGATAGTTTTGGAAGAAGAAGTTACATTTATGTTTCATAGGTTTTAATTAATTTTTGGGTACGTTTTAATTGTATGTTCTTTTGAATTTTATATTGGTAATTAGTTGTATATTTGGTGATCCTCTGAGAAGACATTATAAACAGAGCAAGAATATCGAGTTCTCTACTGTGGAGGTTCCCGCAAAATTTATGATAGCATGAGAAAACCTAAATAACAGAAATTTTAACATGGACACTGGGTCTTCAGTTTCAAAAGTATACTTTTATGATAACGAGAGTCTATATACAGCATACTGTTTTATTCATCATGATTGCAATATCAACTAGTTTTTATATTGTTATTTATCTGGTCAAGAATTTTTTTTTCAATTGAGGTATAATCCACTATTTGACATATAGCGAGATAGACAAATTGAGGTATAATGCAGTTTTTATAACAACATTTTTGAAGAGATAATGGAGCAATTTTTTGCATATACAGTAGACTCCACCTAATCGGATATCGTCAATACGAATATATCGGCAATTGTAATATTATTTCAAAACACCAAACCCTTCCCCATATGTTTAATATTAATTTTATTGGGTGATCGAATATCGGATATAAGAATATATCAGTGTTCTCCCCAGGCCGTTTTAGCGCTGGGGTATTCAGCGCTATCGCATTTCAGCACTGTTCTATTGGACAGACCGCAGCGCTATCCAATCAAATATCAGTGCTATTGTTTTTCAATTTTCAATTTTCCGGTGTTCAGCTGTAAAATTTCGATCACGTGATCAACTGGTTGATTTGTCGGAGATCGATGAGATACCTTTCAAAGTCAAATATGGGAGGGATCAGTTCAATGAAAAAAATGGCGTCATAATAATAGGTCTTTTTGGCAGTCCGAGATCTCCCAAATTGGGGGATCTCGGACTGCCAAAAAGACCTATTTATTTCCCAGAGTTTTTCACCTTTAAGAATAAAAAGGTGCATAAACCTCATGAAATGGGTGGATAGTGCTCCATAAATCATTCCCAAAGTATTTAAAGAAAGGTTTACCCTTTGACAACGTGGTCTTCGTCTATTTTTTTCAATCATTTACGATTATTTCATTACTGTTTAGTGGTTACAACTAAACTGGTAAACTTCATGGCTTGAAGGAAGTATTCCTGTTGTCTAGGGATTCATTATAAGCCCATATTTTACGATAACTTGTCTATGCATTGTTTTTTTTCCAAAATCGAATCGAGGATAAAACAAAACAAAATCGCGTAAATAAATATAAATTATTGTGTTATGCCATCTAATTATCATTAAATGTCAATTAAATGTTATTTTGAAATCGATGATAACAGGTGATTGCTTGGATATGAATTGGCATTTAATGATAAATAGAAGCATCCATTTGGTCAAAGTGTAAACAGGAAATGGAAGTTGTAGAAGGGAGACAATTTAGGCGGGAAAAATTCTTAAACTAGTATTGTCAAATCTTGTCAATTAATTTTGGTGGCAATAATTCAAACATTTATAAAGTTATCAAACACAACCTTTAAATTTGGTATTTTTGTTTGAATTGGCAAATATAATTTTTTCATTCTAACTCACCTTAAATAATAAAAAAAAATCATTAAACAAAAATGAGGTTTCTATTAGATGCATCTTGGAAGTATGTAAGCCTTTACTTAAACATGTCTGCATTAACATTTAATTACTTATAGAAAGGGTAATCCACTTTTTCTTTTGATATGAAATAAGATACTGATTTTAGTTGTGAATTTTTAAATTGAAAGAAGTAAACATTAATAAAAGTTAATGAAAACAGTCAAATTTGGCCATTGGAAACTTAAACTAGTGTCAGTTAAATATGAAGCTGTAAATGAAATACATAACTAGTTAAGTTAAACAACTAAAAGTTAGAGAAAAAGTATACCTACTGTGCTATATTGCAAATAATCACTCTTATAAGAAAAGATTGAGAGGGATAGTAATGAAATCAAATTATTAAAATTATCTAGGCATTTTAATTAAAAGCTTAATATAATAAAAATGTAACTTATTTGGTAATAATGCATATATATATGTGTATTAAAATGCAGGTCTTTTTCTATTTTATACAATATAACCAACATGGCAGTTGTAAGTAAATGTAACATTACATCGCAAACGAGAAAGGTGAATCAATCTAATATCGTGCGGTTACCACAGCGCTATAAAAAAATCCTGGGGAGAACACTGATATATCATCAAGAATATTCAGGAAAATTTAGTCAATTGAGGTATAATCCACTAATTGATGGATATTCATGACTGGTTTCCTTAAGCAGTGTTAAGTCTGCATCAGTTCCAACTTTAAGATTTGTCAGTCAAAAAGGACAGGAAGAGACTATCGAACAAAAATTAGATTTAATAGATGAAAACTCAGAATTTATAAGTAGAAAAAGGAGGGTCATATTAGGTTTTGGGTTTCTCTAACAAAATGCAGCTTGAAGTGTCAGAATCAATTACATGTCATCACCAAGTGGTCATCAAAGCTTGTTATGGTAAATGCAAAGATGCTCCAATATCTCTTAAGAATTTGTTTTGATAAAAACTGCATTATACCTCAATTGGTGTATCTCATTATATGTCAAATGGTGGATTATACCTGAATTAAGGTATAATCCACCAATTAATGGTTATCCCTGACCTTTACAACCACAGGTATCAATTTATTATAGCCTTCCCATTGTTTGGAACAAGTACCTGTGTTACAACCTACAGGGAAACGGGAGTTTATAGATTTGGTTACCAGGTGTTTTCATTGCCACTGACTAAGTTCCTCACTATCCCAAAATAGAGGGGTGCTGCCCTTCAGTCTTTACACTTGAAAAATGTGCCATTTCCATTGCCCCTATAAAATTCCTCAATATATTTTGACCAACCATGTCAAATGGCTTCATACTTTTTCAATGATTTTTTGTTTATATGGGGACAATAACCCCAATTACAGTAGAAAAATCAATAATAAAAAAAAAAATCAATCTACTAATGAACTCAAAATCTTTAACTTTTTATTTTCTAACTTTTTTGTTTTCCCGCATTTGCCCAGAAATCTCTTTCTTTCTTCCGTCTCGTTTGTCACGAGACTTATATTTATCAGTCGAGTAAAATATAGGAAGGAGCACAATAACAATTTAATTTATTAAAATTATTCTTTGATATGAAAAAAAATGTTACGTGATGATAATGTTTCTTTGTTTACATTGAAAATGATGTCACAACTAAAATCCCTAACAACAGGACCAACATCGGAAACATTTGCGTATTTCTGTTTCTTTTTCAACAGACTCTGAAGTTTAAATATGCTAATTTATACGGACTTTGTCCCCTTTCACAAGTAACACCTGCCTCATATTACTAGACTTGTTAAGCTTGATTGGATGTTACAACTTTTTTTAATGTTTTGATAACAATAAATTGTATAAATAATTGGCCGATATCTATTAGCGCCAAAATGAATCCATTTGAGCCACAACTTATTTGCGCCAAAGCTACTTCTGCCAGAGCTCCAGATAAGCTGCGTATTTGCGTGATCACGCAATGCAAATGATTAAAAACCCAATGCAATTGCCCATTGCAGGGTTCAATAACCCAATTAATTCAAAGGAAAACCCAATTATATGTCAAAACCATGAGTTCTTAACGCTTTTATTCGCTATCGTTTGCATTATTTACCCTTATCTAATTACAATCGTCGCATAAATCTATTTTTATAATATTTATAATTGGAAATTTCCTTTCGTTCTAAGAATAGAGCCCTGCATCAAGTAGCTGAAATGGGTCCCTGTTGGAATTTTCCGTTGCTCAAAAGGTACACATGTTTATGAAAACATTTCGATCTTCTCGGCGTTTATCCAATTAGCGTTTGTCATGTTTTCATATTTTTTTCGAATTGCTCGGGACTTATCGTAACATACAATGAATTAAAACGAAAATAAATGTCCGGTAAAAATATTGAATAGAAGCATGTTTTCAGCTTCTTTTTGATAGCTGAGGACAAGTTATGATGATAACAAGACTCAGCTAGTGTTTTATGAAGTGTCGGTCGAAAGCACAGGCGTGTTTGCGTACCTTAACGAGAACATTGCTAGAACTATAAACACGGGGTTTCTTCAAGAACGAAATCAGTTGGAAAAAGTGAAAGGCCAAATTAATTATGACATGATATGTAGTTGGAAAGCATCGGAAACCAAAAGTTCTAATAAGGGACATCTTAACCCAGATTTATGTTAATTAAATTAAACAAAAACATTCAGCTATAATTTTAGTTTATATATTATTTTTTCATTTTTAGTTGATGAGTGAAAACACATATCCATTTTTTTACGTCAATGCAGCTTGACACTTTATTTTGGTCTAATTGTTCTGTATGCTTAAGATAGCTGTCTTATTGGCAAGTGTTATTTATTTATTTGATGTTGCAGAATTATTTGTAAATTGAAGTTGAATGTGGTGTCCGTAATTAAACCACCCTTTAAACCTGGTCAAGGTTTTGGGGTATATCTTAAATCTGGGAACTACTTATTATTTTCATTAAAAAGTAGATCTGGCAAATAGGTGAAAGGACTGGCAAAACTTTCTTACAGCACCTAAATTTCACATATATTACATAAAAATCTTAACACTAAGCCACACCTACCCCAAATAAACTGTAGGATATCATATGGGATCTAGAAAGGTAATTAGTTACTGTCCAACTAGTGATACCAGCTGCAGTTTATATAAGTTGCGAGAAAATACAAAACTGGCAGAACGTTTAAAACGGGACACAAATCAAACGTACAATTGCTCGTCAGTGAATAAACCAAACAAAACAGCTAGCACATTTACAAAGAAAGAAACATTTTAAAGATGGAAAAACATCTTGGGTTGATATAATGTGATTATAACATGTATAACATGCCTAAATATTCAATATTGTGTTGATGAAAAAACCCAATACATTAAGGAGCTTGGTGGTGAAAAACCCAATTTGATATTTTCTTGAGGGGTGAATCGGAATTGATAATGCAATTAAAAAACTCTATCACCCAATTACATAAAAAAATTATGGGTAAAAACCCCAATTTGTGAATTCTTATCTGGAGCTCTGCTTCTGCGCCACTTCATTTTGAAAACTATCATGACTATAGGTTCATTTGCGCCAATAAAACAATCATACGATTGTGCCAATTTCATCAATATACCTATTTTTACTTATATATATCTACTAAACTATTCTAGAAGGATAACAGATAACATATCAGTTGCTTTTCATTTTGCATACTGTTCTCAAAATCTGTCTTTCTAGTTTCTGAGTATTATTTTCATGTATATGGTCTAATTCCCCACTCCATAACTGTACAATATTCATCTGTAAATAGCCAAGCAAAACACGACTTGACTGTACATCTTCATTTTTCTTAATAAATGCCTGATGGAAATCGTGTTCTTCTACAACGATGATAGAGGTTTCCTCTATCAGACTGTTTTTTTCTCGAACAATATATCAGACATCTTTACATGTGAAAAACTATTCTATTACTGAACAATTTATTTATTGGTGAGTTTTCTTAATTTTGATAGGTTAGTTATTGTACATGTTACATGCTTAATATAGGTAAGGAAAATACAGGTGAATGTGGTGCAATTTGATTTCATTTTTTGGCACAGTTAATACCATCAGGAAAAAAAAGAGTGTGGCACAAATGATACCTTTTCAAAACTGTAATTGGAGCAAATTGATTCTGGCCAAATGAGATGATTGCATAATGCTAAAAGTCACTTTACTGACAATTTTAAAATATAAGCCAACTTATTTTACATTTAAACAGCTACATTTAATCATATAAATGGAAATGAGGATGGCTTTGATATTTTTGTGTGTAAAAATAATTTTGATTGATAAAACTAATGACTTATATTAGTGGAACATTATTTTCTATTCATAACCAAATTATTGAGTCCAGTTATAGTAAAACTGTTCTAGAGCTTTAAGATGCTGTGCAGGATGCAATTCATTTATTTATCTGCTACAAATTAGAGCATGAAATTGTTGTGTAGCAGAATAACTTAACTTGCATGTACAATAACTTAGCATGATAGACATCTTCAAATCTGAATCAATGAAAGTATCTGGGCAATAAATAATCAGGGAAAAAAGGCAAGCGAGTGAAAGGCAAATGAAACTTTATTTATATATGCTGCAAGAAGGAAGTTGAGTTTGGGTTAAAAAATTAAAGGGGCTATTAGAATTTTTCAATGTAAAAGAAAAAATTGTTTTGAAAAAAAAATTGCCATTCAGCTTGTTCAAGGAATAGATATTTTATGAAATGTAGGCATTCCATGAGGACATCCCTGTAGCTGGCAAAATTGTTTTAAAGATGTTAAGAATCATAATTCAATTGACAAACACAGATGTCTTAAAAATGACTTGATAGAGGACTTGCGTTTGAAAATGAGGCAAAAATATTTTTACATGTGCACGGGAATTTTATGATGCAATGCAAGAACTGGTCTTAAAATTTGTGTCTTTCTTTATTGTAAATATTCATATAAGAAGATATAAAAAGTTCTTTTTTCTTTTGCAGGGGTGTTTTGCATACAAGGGAAAAAAGAAACGAGTCAACCCAGGTGAGGTTACAAATTGTAGAAGATTTTGAAAATTTATAACATCTTTTTATGAAAAAAATAAAGAGATACCACCATGACCCAGGAGTTTTGAGATTTATAACCTGACAATACCACAACCAAAGGATGCAAATAAAAAAATAAGCCACAAAACACAACATAAAAAGTAAAGATTCAACAAAACAAACCCTACACAACTAAAGGTTTTATAACACAAACCCTACACAACGAAAAGTTATACAACACAAACCCTACATAACTAAAGGTGATACAACACAAACCCTACATAACTAAAGGTGATACAACACAAACCCTACACAACGAAAGGTTATACAACACAAACCCCACATAACTAAAAGTGATACAACACAAACCCTACATAACTAAAGGTGATACAACATAAACCCTACACAACTAAAGGTTATACAACACAAACCCTACACAACTAAAGGTTATACAACACAAACCCTACATAACTAAAGGTGATACAACACAAACCCTACATAACTAAAGGTGATACAACACAAACCGTACATAACTAAAGGTTATAAAACACAAACCCTACAAAACTAAAGGTGATACAACACAAACCCTACATAACTAAAGGTGATACAACACAAACCCTACAATACAACACAAACCCTACATAACTAAAGGTTATACAACACAAACCCTACAAAACTAAAGGTGATACAACACAAACCCTACATAACTAAAGGTGATACAACACAAACCCTACAATACAACACAAACCCTACATAACTAAAGGTGATACAACACAAACCCTACATAACTAAAGGTGATACAACACAAACCCTACATAACTAAAGGTTATACAACACATCTGTGGGAAAGAACTTGGGATAGTTGAAAGGTGAAAAGTATGAACAAGTCTACAAGCTGTGCACCAGAGAGAAAATGTGACAATAAGTCATGTTGACTTTGTATTAGTTCAGATTGGGTTGCATTTCTTTCGCAAAGTAATAAAGGATACTTAAAAACATTATATTTGAATTTTTCAGCTGATTACTTTAAAGCTTGTGAACATCCAGTCTCTGGAGTTTCCCGACAGTCAACATGTGATCAGACATGGGAAGAAATTGATCAAGAAATACAAGTAAAGTTATTATACCCCAAATCTAAATTGTTTGTAATTTCCATATGTATGGCACATGTTTATTATAACTTTCCTACTTTAAGTTTATGATGTAGAAAATTAAGTAGTTTGGTGAAAATTATTAGTTTCCAAACATTTAATAGATCTTTTGCTCTAATCAAGTTTTGATTTTCTTCATTATTATTAATTTTTAGAAAGTTCATTTATTGTAACTTTTATACATATTTTTTTGTAATTCTGATTTATTTGAACACTACATGAATAGCGAATAAAACAGGATAATTAAGTCTCCCAAACGAAGTTTGGGAAGACTTATTGTTTTTGCTCAGTTCTTATTATTAAGTCTCCCAAACGAAGTTTGGGAAGACTTATTGTTTTTGCTCAGTTCTTATTATTATTATTCTTCTTCTTCTTCTTCTTCTTCTTCTTCCGCCGCTTTTAAATTTGAACTTGTCCGCACCCGTTCTCCAAAACTGCTTGTCAGATTAACTTAGGGTTTCACAATATGTTAGACTAACATGTCTAGTGGTGCAATCAGGGTTTTGTTTGTGCAATGGGGTTTATAAAGGGGTACTTTGAGGGGCAAAAAGAAAAGAGGGTTTTACTATAGAACCCTATGGGATTTTATTTTTTTAAATGTTCAAATGATTATAAATTGAAAACCGTTTGTGATAGACACAATCTTTTTAATTGAAAATGTTCTAAATGATAAAGCCCATTAAATGAAATACAGGGTTAGTCCCCAGGGATCACCCCCACCCCCTGCCATTTAAGAAAGTTCTAATACCTTGTAAGTGGTCAAGATTCCCACCCCTAAACCATATATATTCTGGTTTGTCATGCTAAGATGGTTTGAATGATATACAGGGTTAGTCCCCAGGGGTCATCCCGACCCCCTGCCATTTGAGAAAGTTCTAATATCTTGTAAATGGTCGAGATCCCCACCCCTAAACCATATATATTCTGGTTTGTCATGATAAAGCACATCAAATGCAATACAGGGTTAGTCCCCAGGGGTCACCCCAACCCCCTGCCATTTAAGAAAGTTCTAATATCTGGTAAGTGGTCAAGATCCCCACCCCTAAACCATATATAATCTGGTTTGTCATGCTAAGATGGTTTGAATGATATACAGGGTTAGTCCCCAGGGGTCATCCTGACCCCCTGCCATTTGAGAAAGTTCTAATATCTTGTAAATGGTCGAGATCCCCACCCGTAAACCATATATATTCTGGTTTGTCATGATAAAGCACATCAAATGAAAAACAGGGTTAGTCCCCAGGGGTCACCCCCACCCCCTGCCATTTAAGAAAGTTCTAATATCTTCTAAGTGGTCAAGATCCCCACCCCTAAACCATATATATTCTGGTTTGTCATGCGAAGATGGTTTGAATGATATACAGGGTTAGTCCCAAGGGGTCATCCCGACCCCCTGCTATTTGAGAAAGTTCTAATATCTTGTAAATGGTTGAGACCCCCACCCCTAAACCATATATATTCCTATTTGTCATGTCTCGAACATTTGAAAGACATATACGGTCAGTCCCCAGGGGTTCCCCCCACCCCCAATGTTCTAATATCTTGTAAATGGTTGAGATCCCCACCCCTAAACCATATATATTCCTGTTCGTCATGTAGTGAACATTTGAATGACGTATAGGGCCAGTCCCCAGGGGTTCCTCCCCACCCCCAATGTTCTAGTATCTTGTAAATGGTCGAGATCCCCACCCCTAAACCATATATATTCTGGTTTGTCATGCCAAGATGATTTGAATGATATACAAGGTTAGTCCCCTGGCATCACTAATGCATATAACTTTACTGGACCAAACCAATTTTCACTGGATGTTGCCCAATGTCAGGCGACCCTGGGAATTACGAATTATGGGAGCTTCGTTTGGGAGACTTCGTAACAGCATCCTGTTACAATCATTTCTTGTTATTATTATTCTTCTTCCGCCGCTTTTAAATTTGAACTTGTCCGCACCTGTTCTCCAAAACCGCTTGTCAGATTAACTTAGGGTTTCACAATATGTTAGACTAACATGTCTAGTGGTGCAATCAGGGTTTTGTTTGTGCAATGGGGTTTATAAAGGGGTACTTTGAGGGGCAAAAAGAAAAGAGGGTTTTACTATAGAACCCTATGGGATTTTATTTTTTTAAATTTTCAAATGATTATAAGTTGAAAACCGTTTGTGATAGACACAATCTTTTTAATTGAAAATGTTCTAAATGATAAAGCCCATTAAATGAAATACAGGGTTAGTCCCCAGGGATCACCCCCACCCCCTGCCATTTAAGAAAGTTCTAATATCTTCTAAGTGGTCAAGATCCCCACCCCTAAACCATATCTATTCTGGTTTGTCATGCTAGGATGGTTTGAATGATATACAGGGTGAGTCCCCAGGGGTCATCCCGACCCCCTGCCATTTGAGAAAGTTCTAATATCTTGTAAATGGTCGAGATCCCCACCCCTAAACCATATATATTCTGGTTTGTCATGATAAAGCACATCAAATGTTATACAGGGTTAGTCCCCAGGGGTCACCCCCACCCCCTGCCATTTAAGAAAGTTCTAATATCTTGTAAGTGGTCAAGATCCCCACCCCTAAACCATATATATTCTGGTTTGTCATACTAAGATGGTTTGAATGATATACAGGGTTAGTCCCCAGGGGTCATCCCGACCCCCTGCCATTTGAGAAAGTTCTAATATCTTGTAAATGGTTGAGATCCCCACCCCTAAACCATATATATTCCTGTTCTTCATGTAATGAACATTTGAATGACGTATAGGGCCAGTCCCCAGGGGTTCCTCCCCACCCCCAATGTTCTAGTATCTTGTAAATGGTCGAGATCCCCACCCCTAAACCATATATATTCTGGTTTGTCATGCCAAGATGATTTGAATGATATACAAGGTTAGTCCCCAGGCATCACTAATGCATATAACTTTACTGGACCAAACCAATTTTCACTGGACGTTGCCCAATGTCAGGCGACCCTGGGAATTACGAATTATGGGAGCTTCGTTTGGGAGACTTCGTAACAGCATCCTGTTACAATCATTTCTTGTTTCCAATATTTCCATGATAAATATTTCAAATGAAACATTAAATGTGAATTGAATGTTTCTATATACATTTCATCCAAGAAATTTCTTTTGTTAATCTATCATACTAGAAAATGTATTTCTTGGTTTCTAGAGAGCTACAGCTAATATGGATAGAAATAGATTCTTACATTGGTACCAGTGGAATATCAGATTTATCCAATTGAAATAGTTAAATTATCGAATTTTAAAGCCCTGCCTCGGCAAGGACTTCAGAATTGATAATTTAATTATCAAGATTGGATAAATCTGATAATCCACAAGTAACTAGATATGTAAGAATTTATTTCCCTAATGATTATAGAATAAATTTTCATCTTTGATGAACGAATATCCCCTTCGAGTGCCTTCCACATTCCATGAAGTCGTCAATTTCTCTATTTTTATACAATGGGTCCAGAAAAGGTTAAATTGCCAAAGAATTAGAGAAAAAAATATATCAGTCTGTTGGCTTGCCATATAAACATTTCTTAGCCTGATGTACCAGTCTGTTTGCCTTGTAAAAAGTACTCTAATATCCAGTCAAGCTTTAATAATGTAATTCAAAACAAATCTGTACACTTGATTTGACTATATTTGATATTTTTCATAATTTGATACATATATTTCAGATACTGAGATCTGACTTGAATTCTAAGATATTTGATGATTTACTGGCATTTACCAGCTCCTGCCATGAAAAGTTTAGTCTAGACCATGATCAGGATCACAAAGACTCTTTTGTTACAGAAATACCCACAGCTGCCCTTGTAACTGGTGAGCATGAAATAATAATCAGACTGTTTATGTATTGTAGATGTAGCATATGATCATTGTATATAGATATAGGAAGATGTGGTGTGAGTGCCAATGAGACAACTCTCCATCCAAGTAACAATTTATAAAAGTAAACCATTATAGGTCAAGGTATGGCCTTCAACACGGAGCCTTGCTATGTATGTAAATATGATTGAGTTCCCAAAAAACGTACAATCATACCTGTCAACCTATGAAAATGATCATGACCTGCATTGAAGAAGAAAATCTCAGGTCATAACGCGTACGGACTTTTTCGGCTGAATTTAAGTATTTAGGGGACATTTCTCACATGGTTAAGTACTAACTGAAAATAATTTAAAACTTTAATTTTATTTTTTCATTGCATAATAAGCCTTTTGAAATATTTGTCTTTTCAAGCTAAGCCATACCCCCACTTTTTGTTTTATTCATAGTTTTATATCAATCCTCAAGCTACTTGTTTCACAGTATGGATCATAATGTGCAGCCTGTCCAAATGTGTTGATATTGAAATATAATTAAAAAAAATTAAGCATTTAAAGGAAGTAAAGATAGAAAAAATAATTTGTAAAATAATTTTTTAATTGTTCTAAGGTAGAAAAATAAAAGAATGTAATATTCTGATATGTATTTACATTCAATTTGTTTTAGATTTAAACTTTTAACAAAAAAAACCCATAAAATTAAGGAGTATATTGTGAAAGGTGACACAAAAGGGGAAGTAACTCAAATTTATTGTCAAAAAACTTTGAAATGGACAAATTATTTATGACCTTAAGCTAAGGTAATTCTCGGTAATTAATAGTGTGTTTGACACCAAAGCTGCCAAGTGAAGCCATGCACTTCATGGGTCACTTAATCTGACAGTTAACACAGCTAGTTGAACTTCCTGTCCAGGAAAAATTACGAATTTGCCGGTATTTCAAAGGAAATCACTTATGAATCAGTCTAAAGGCTCAAGAATCTGGGTGAAAACGGGTCATTTTCTGAATTCCCAGGTTATTTAACGACCTAACGGGTATTTACAAAATCCCGGGTATGGGGTGAAATTTTCGGGTGTCATCGGAAGGATATGGGTCAGTTAACAGGTATGTACAATGTTTCTTCATATTTAGTACTGCTATTCCTTAATTAGCAGGAGGTTGTTAGCATATTGCGGTTAAAGCATCATTCTCCAGATTGTAAGCATATTGGAGAATATATGAATGTAAAGTATGAAAAGACATGCAGATATACTGCTGAAATTTTAGAAAATTTTCTAATTTATTTGCTTTGCAAAATTTCAACATACTTAATAAATGGTACATGACCAAGCTATTTTTCTCTGCCACATTCATCATGTTATATTATATGCCTATTCCATAAAGGGACCTCCGTGATAATTATTTATTCTTAAAACAATTGACAGGAGTGAACACACCTGACCATGGTGTTATGTTCTCCACATTGGTAGAACTGTTACATGAGAGAGTATCTCCATTGGTGGCCATACTCAGGTCTAAGGATTGTAACAGAGTGAAGAATGTTCTCACTAAGACACTGGGACAACTTCTACAGAATCCAGATATGGTAATTGTTATGTATAAACCAGTTAGATACAGAGTGAGGCTATAAATTTTTATGAGATGTCAGTAAAACTGTGAAATAGCATCATTAAGTAAAATTCTAGAGGCCAACAAAATGCAACATTTCACTTCACTTCTTTTGAAATTAGTTGTATTTTTAAAATTCTGGAGTTGTGGTATGATTTGCAATGAGACAACTATCCTCCAGAGTCCAAAGACAAAGTTGTAAATAATTATGTATTGTTTTTTTCTGTGTAAATGTATGTTTACTTGGAGGAATGAGGTAAAAATAATTTTAATTCAAATTTCAAATTGTGATTATGTTTCAGTTTACCGATGAAGAAGAGGACTTGATAACCAACACTAAAAATTTACCATGTACTTTGTCTACATTATCTGCTTGGTATAATACTAAATATAAGGTAAAGATTTACCATGTACTCTGTCTACATTATCTGCCTGGTATAATACTAAATATAAGGTAAAGATTTACTATGTACTCTTGTCTACATTATCTGCCTGGTATAATACTAAATATAAGGTAAAGATTTACCATGTACTCTGTCTACATTATCTGCCTGGTATAATACTAAATATAAGGTAAAGATTTACCATGTACTCTTGTCTACATTATCTGCCTGGTATAATACTAAATATAAGGTAAAGATTTACCATGTACTCTGTCTACATTATCTGCCTGGTATAATACTAAATATAAGGTAAAGATTTACCATGTACTCTGTCTACATTATCTGCCTGGTATAATACTAAATATAAGGTAAAAATTTACCATGTACTCTGTCTACATTATCTGCCTGGTATAATACTAAATATAAGGTAAAGATTTACCATGTACTCTGTCTACATTATCTGCCTGGTATAATACTAAATATAAGGTAAAGATTTACTATGTACTCTGTCTACATTATCTGCCTGGTATAATACTAAATATAAGGTAAAGATTTACCATGTACTCTGTCTACATTATCTGCCTGGTATAATGCTAAATATAAGGTAAAGATTTACTATGTACTCTGTCTACATTATCTGCCTGGTATAATGCTAAATATAAGGTAAAGATTTACCATGTACTCTGTCTACATTATCTGCTTGGTATAATGCTAAATATAAGGTAAATGTTTACTATGTACTCTGTCTACATTATCTGCCTGGTATAATACTAAACATAAGGTAAAGATTTACCATGTACTCTGTCTACATCATCTGCTTGGTATAATGCTAAATATAAGGTAAAGATTTACCATGTACTCTGTCTACTTTGTCTGCTTGGTATAATACTAAATATAAGGTAAAGATTTACCATGTACGTTGTCTACATTATTTGCCTGGTATAATACTAAATATAAGGTAAAAATTTACCATGTACTCTTGTCTACATTATCTGCCTGGTATAATACTAAATATAAGGTAAAGATTTACCATGTACTCTTGTCTACATTATCTGCCTGGTATAATACTAAATATAAGGTAAAGATTTACCATGTACTCTTGTCTACATTATCTGCCTGGTATAATACTAAATATAAGGTAAAGATTTACCATGTACTCTTGTCTACATTATCTGCCTGATATAATACTAAATATAAGGTAAAGATTTACCATGTACTCTGTCTACATTATCTGCCTGGTATAATACTAAATATAAGGTAAAGATTTACCATGTACTCTTGTCTACATTATCTGCCTGGTATAATACTAAATATAAGGTAAAGATTTACCATGTACTCTTGTCTACATTATCTGCCTGGTATAATACTAAATATAAGGTAAAGATTTACCATGTACTCTGTCTACATTATCTGCCTGGTATAATACTAAATATAAGGTAAAGATTTACCATGTACTCTTGTCTACATTATCTGCTTGGTATAATACTAAATATAAGGTAAAGATGTACCATGTACTCTTGTCTACATTATCTGCCTGGTATAATACTAAATATAAGGTAAAGATTTACCATGTACTCTGTCTACATTATCTGCCTGGTATAATACTAAATATAAGGTAAAGATTTACCATGTACTCTGTCTACATTATCTGCTTGGTATAATGCTAAATATAAGGTAAAGATTTACCATGTACTCTGTCTACTTTGTCTGCTTGGTATAATACTAAATATAAGGTAAAGATTTACCATGTACGTTGTCTACATTATTTGCCTGGTATAATACTAAATATAAGGTAAAGATTTACCATGTACTCTTGTCTACATTATCTGCCTGGTATAATACTAAATATAAGGTAAAGATTTACCATGTACTCTGTCTACATTATCTGCCTGGTATAATACTAAATATAAGGTAAAGATTTACCATGTACTCTTGTCTACATTATCTGCTTGGTATAATACTAAATATAAGGTAAAGATGTACCATGTACTCTTGTCTACATTATCTGCCTGGTATAATACTAAATATAAGGTAAAGATTTACCATGTACTCTGTCTACATTATCTGCCTGGTATAATACTAAATATAAGGTAAAGATTTACCATGTACTCTTGTCTACATTATCTGCCTGGTATAATACTAAATATAAGGTAAATATTTACCATGTACTCCTGTCTACATTATCTGCCTGGTATAATACTAAATATAAGGTAAAGATTTACCATGTACTCTTGTCTACATTATCTGCCTGGTATAATACTAAATATAAGGTAAAGATTTACCATGTACTCGTGTCTACATTATCTGCTTGGTATAATACTAAATATAAGGTAAAGATTTACCATGTACTCTTGTCTACATTATCTGCCTGGTATAATACTAAATATAAGGTAAAGATTTACCATGTACTCGTGTCTACATTATCTGCTTGGTATAATACTAAATATAAGGTAAAGATTTACCATGTACTCTTGTCTACATTATCTGCCTGGTATAATACTAAATATAAGGTAAAGATTTACCATGTACTCTTGTCTACATTATCTGCCTGGTATAATACTAAATATAAGGTAAAGATTTACCATGTACTCTGTCTACATTATCTGCCTGGTATAATACTAAATATAAGGGAAAGATTTACCATGTACTCTGTGTACATTATCTGCCTGGTATAATACTAAATATAAGGTAAAGATTTACCATGTACTCTGTTTACATTATCTGCCTGGTATAATACTAAATATAAGGTAAAGATTTACCATGTACTCTTGTCTACATTATCTGCCTGGTATAATACTAAATATAAGGTAAAGATTTACCATGTACTCTGTCTACATTATCTGCCTGGTATAATACTAAATATAAGGTAAAGATTTACCATGTACTCTGTCTACATTATCTGCCTGGTATAATACTAAATATAAGGTAGAGATTTACCATGTACTTTGTCTACATTATCTGCCTGGTATAATACTAAATATAAGGTAAAGATTTACCATGTACTCTTGTCTACATTATCTGCCTGGTATAATACTAAATATAAGGTAAAGATTTACCATGTACTCTGTTTACATTATCTGCCTGGTATAATACTAAATATAAGGTGAAGATGTATCAACTTAACTATTCTTGTTCTAAATTGGACTTCTTTCTTAATTCCAAATTGTTATTTCACAACTGCACACCTTTATATGAGCAAAACAATATAAGAATAAAGTAAACTAACAGTTACATGAAAGTGGAACAAGGGTTTAGTCTCCAGCATTAAGGTCCAAGGACACAATATTCCTTCTGTGTGGATACTGGGTTTCTGTCTGGTGATGAATTGTCTACTGGTTAAATCAGTTAGGATCAGAGTAATCTTATCTTTAAATTTTGCATTCTTAGCTTAAAATATTTATTGTATACCTAAATGAGATGATGTGGTATGATTGCCAATGAGACAACTCTCCACCAGAGACCAAATAGAAGTTAACAACTATTATAACAATGAGCAACACCCATACCACATTGTCAGCCATAAAAGGCCCAGAAATGACAAATGAAAAACAATTCAATCTAGAAAACTAACGGCCTGATTTATGTACAAAACAATGAAAGAAAAACAAATATGATATACAGCAACAAATAACAACCACTGAATTACAGGTTCCTTACTTTGGACAGGCACATACAGAATGTGGCGGGGTTAAACATGTTTGAGGGTGCCCAACCCTCCCCTAACCTGGGACAGGGTGTAACAGCACAACATATGAACAAACTATAAAAATCAGTTGAAAAGGGCTTAACTCAGAATGTATATATTCTGTTAATGCTAATGTTTAAAAAAAAATAAGCTCTTTTAGACATTTTATTTGTATTTCTAAATATCATGCCAAATTGAAAGAAAACTTTATTTTTTATTCACTCTGAAAATAAGTACGAACAAGAGATATAAGCAATAATTGATGAGACATTAGCATAAAATTATTTCAGTGTAACAAGTAGTAGTTACTTCATATGTAAATCATATGTTTTGCGGGTAGACTACTTCATTGGACCTCTTTGGTAGTTATGAATTGAATGATTTAAAACATTCATTGCTGTAAATAATAACAAATATTATGGTTTACTTTCAGCTACCCCACAGTCCAACAAAGAAGAGAAAGTCAGTCACTATAAGTGAGCACCAGAGATATCCTCCTATAGTTATTGTATTTGAAGATTTGGAGAGTTGGGTCCCACAGATATTACAAGATTTCATCACAATTTGTAGGTCTGTACTTAATCTCGAGTTTGTTTGGGATTATTAAGTATTAAATGTGTTTCATATTCATTACATGTAACTAGCATACAGACAACCCCTATTGCACTTTAGGTTGTTAAACCATTCTGTTTTACGTTGAAATAAAATATAAAGTTTCTTGCTTTATATTTGGTTTGAAATGATTAGGTCTAGTATAATTTTTTGCACTTAAGGACCAAAAAAAAGGGGGGTATAATTTGTAATTCAGATTAAGAATGTTGATAAAATATTGATGAATGAAATACCAGAGAGATTATAGAGAAGATGAACCATTTCAATACTGTAAACTGGGAAATTTTCGGGCCGTCTTTATTTCGCGTTTTATGAACACAATCTAAATTCGTGCTATTTTGAATTCGCGATTTCCCTGTGGCCTATAAAAATATTTGCATAAAGGATATAGAAACTGATCAGCTTTATATGTATAGTAAATCAAGTGATAAAATCAATCAGAAATATTTTGTTTTCGGTTCATTAATGTTGAAGGAGAATAAAAGTTGTGTCATGTTTGCTTGTAAAAACACAAACACAATAACAGTAAAGAAGACCTAATTAAGAGTGAATTAAAATAAAATGTTGTCAGGATAATTGCTAATTAAACGATCTTTTGATATGATTAATCTGTGTAGCAGATCCCACGAGGTGATACTTTTAAAACTGATTGACAGGTGTCATTTACATATTTGTAACGAGTGTTGTTTACATAACAATATCCATAATGTCCGCTTGCTTGAGATGTCTTCCATGTTGATGAGATTAACTAGAGTTAAAGTCATGATTTCTAGTATTGCTTTTCATTTAGAAATATAATTATGATTTGAGGTATCCATCTGTCCTCTGTAAAATCCGTGTTATACAGTGGTCCTCTACATATCCTATTCTTTTACGTACATGTTGGTCTTCATCTTATGAATAGAGTTTCCTTCAAATTTTCACGGTCGTTTTATTTTTCGCGTTTCAATTCTTACAGCCAAAATAAAACTGCCGCGAAAGTTTCACTGTTTAAAGTAACATCTTTTCATTTGTGTTTGGTCTTGTTTGATTTCAGTAACTACATAAATATGTTACCAATCATTTTTGTATTCATAATTGTATGATTCCAGTAACTATATACACCACTTGCTAATCATGTTTGTGTTTGGTTTTGTTATATTTCAGTAACTACATACATCACTTGCCAATAGTATTTGTATTTGGTATTGCCACATCAGTTGCTGCGGTCCACAGATTGCTCCCTAATACTGTGTCATCACTGTTATGTATGGAAAAGTTCCAAGCACCTCCCTCTACTGAATATTTAACTCTTGTCATAAACCAGGTAACATATAGAAAAGTTTCAAGCACCTCCCTCCACTGAATATTTAACTCTTGTCATAAACCAGGTAAAATATAGAAAAATTCCAAGCACCTCCCTCCTCCGAATATTTAACTCTTGTCATAAACCAGGTAAAATATAGAAAAGTTCCAAGCACCTCACTCCACTGAATATTCAACTCTTGTCATAAACCAGGTAAAATATAGAAAAATTCCAAGCACCTCCCTCCACTGAATATTTAACTCTTGTCATAAACCAGGTAAAATATAGAAAAATTCCAAGCACCTCCCTCCACTGAATATTTAACTCTTGTCATAAACCAGGTAAAATATAGAAAAGTTCCAAGCACCTCCCTCCACTGAATATTTAACTATTGTCATAAACCAGGTAAAATATTAAAAAATTCCAATCAGCGCTTCATACTAAAAATGTGTGCACGATCAAGGCTTTTACAACCATATTATATAATAAAAAAAAGTATTCAATTCTTATAATTACATTTATATGCTACATCTAGGAAATTACGAGTTATATCAAGATTTTCGTTTGTTTTCCTATGCATTGTAGTTACGTTGTCATTGGAAACAGGTGTAGTCATGTCTGTTGAATTTTATTGAAAAATACAATTGGATATAATTGGAATACCTCGTGACTGCTTTCAGTCTATCAAAGTATGGATTCTTATGAAACATACATGTAATGTAATTATTGTGAAATAAGCTTTCGAAACTACAATCATATATGATCAAGTACATGAACTTTTATATTTGACTTAGCATTGTAATACTAGGTATTAACCCAGGATTTAACTTCTGGAAAATACTTACTAAAAAAAATATTGCGGCGGCGTTAACTAACTACTTAAAAGCTGTATATTTTAGAAGCTGGAAGACCTGAATGCTTCATACTTTTTATATAGATGCCTAACCATCTTTATGTTATGAAGTTTCCGTCTGTCCTATGTCCATTGTTCTTGACCTCGTTTTCATGGTTCAATGACTACTTGAAAAAAAAGTAAGATTTTTTTGTAATGTTAATTTCTTTTTTATTATGAGTAATAGGATAACTATATTTAGTATGTGTGTACCTTGCAAGGTCCTCATGGCTGTCAGACAGTTTTCATCTGACCTCGACCTCATTTCATGGATCAGTAAACAAGGTTAAGTTTTCGTGGTCAAGTCCATATATCAGATACTATAAGCAATAGGTCTACTATATTTGGTGTATGGAATGATTGTTAGGTGTACATGTCCAACTAGCAGGTGTCATCTGACCTTGACCTCATTTTCATGGTTCAGTCGTTAAAGTTAAGTTTTTGTGTTTTGATCTTTTTTTCTAATACTATATGCAATAGGTCAACTATATTAGGTGTATGGAAATGTTTTACTATGTAGATTTTATTTGACCTTGACCTCATTTTTACGGTTCATTGCTCAGTGTTAAGTTTTGTGTTCTGGTTTATTTTTCTCAAACTATAAGCAATAGGTCAACTATATTTTGCGTATGGAATGATTGTTAGGTGTATATGTCTGTCTGGCAGGTATCATCTGACCTTGACCTCATTTTTATGGTTCATTGGTCAATGTTAAGTTTTCATGGTTAAGTTTATTTCTTATATACTATAAGCAATAGATCAACTATATGTAATGCATAAAATTGAGAATGGAAATGGGGAATATGTTAAAGAGACAACAACCCGACCAAAGAGCAGACAACAGTCGAAGGCTACCAATGGGTCTTCAATGCAGCGAGAAAATCCCGCACCCGGAGGTGGTCCTCAGCTGGCCCCTAAATAAAATTGTGTGCTAGTTCAGTGAAAATGGACGTCACACTAAACTCCAAATAGATTGATTTTAAGGTGTACATGTCTGTCTGGCATGGTTCATTTGACCTTGACCTCATTTCTTGGTTCATTTGTCAATGTTAAGTTTTCTTGGTTAAGTTTGTTTCTTAGAAACTATAAGCAATAGGTCAACTATATTTGGTGTACAGGCTGATTGTAAGGTGTACATGTATTTCCGGTTTGGTTTATCTGACCTTGACCTCATTTTCTTGGATCATGTTAAGTTTATGTGATACTTGTAGTAAAGCTTTATATTTAGGACTATCAACATAAAATCAATGGTCAGTAAAACAGGCGAGACATTTCAGCATGTGCACTTTTGTTTATATAATCTCTGGTATTAAATGTTTTGCAATTTATGTTTTAAAGAGGAAAGTTTATGAATACTTTTACTATGGTTTAATGTCTTAATTTCTTTCTCCTTCTATTTACAGATAATAATGACATCCAAGTTTCCATTTAAGCTTGGATCAAAGGTGTTCCAGTTGTTATTAGATATATTTCTGTACCATGATTTCTCTGTTCTAAACTTCATCAAAGGATTACAGGTAAAGTCCAAGATATTCCAATTGTACTTGTACAGATAGATTATATCTATTTTTGTATCATGTCCTTTCAGTTCTAAACTTCATGAAAGGTATTCCAATAGGATATCTTTATTTCTCTAATTCCTAGCCAATTTATCATTTTATCATTTTCCTGACGTGTTGATTATTTCAATTTCTCTAATTCTTACAAGATTTATTCTTTTCCTGACCTGCTGATTATTTTTATTTAATGTGTGGTTTGATCTCAGTTCTTCATTGGTCAAAATTAGATTATGAAGTCAAATTTTCTTGCTTTCCTCTGAATTTAAGACCATGCCTGATGACATCACATAGAAAGAACACTTCTTTTTGCAGATCATTCGAAAAGAAAGATTGAGTTAGTCTGCAAATAATTAGAGAAACAGATTCCACCATCAAATCTTGTGCAATACGATATGACTTGATGCAGTGGTAGAATCTATATATATATATATATGTTTTGTTAAAATATACTTTTTCACTTTTTTGGTCTTTTGGAAAATGTTGTTTGTGCTGTATTTAGACCCCTCTACCAAGAAATTTGTTTTGCATGCACACGTATAGAAATTGCGGTTTTTATCCAACGCAATCATAGGTTTGAACGTTGTTTTCAATTTAGACTTGTATATATTTATATACTAGTCTGTCACATTTTGATAAGAGCAACAGCTTTACCCTAAAAGATGTTTTGCTATAAAAAGTATTTTACAAAGATGTTAGTGTAAAGTATCTATGGGTAAAGCTGTTGCTAATATACATTTCGATAGACCAAAAACTATACATAGAATGACCATATAAGGGCAAATACATCCATTTCAACCTGCTTATATCATCATAGTGACAAGATTTTATAAACCTGTTAATTTAACAATAAAATTAGCTAAATGTTGAAAGGCTTGGATAAGTTTAGTATTTTTGTGATTTCAGGGGCCTAATAATTGTCCCTACTTGTTCTTGAATAGTCCTGCTTTTAAAATATTTTCTCATTTCTGTACTTTTATATAGTGTGTCATTAGAACAATCTTCATCTAATAAGACTTCTGTATCAGCACATCAAGAATACAAATGTAATATTATATTATATTTTATTTCAGTTCTGTATTCTGGACCATTTCTTCTCGTTCCCCTGCAGTCGTATATTATGTCATCATGAAGACTTACACCAGACAATCAAGGACCTTAAACACCATGATATCGAATCTGTTAGAATGACACCATCCTTTATGAGGTGACAAAATCCATATTGTTAAACACCATGAAATAGAATCAAAGTCCATCTTGTTAAACACCATGATATAGAATCAAAATCCATATTGTTAAACACTATGATATAGAATCAAAATCCATATTGTTAAACACCATGATACAGAATCAAAGTCCATATTGTTAAACACCATGATATAGAATCAAAATCCATATTGTTAAACACCATGATATAGAATCAAAATCCATATTGTTAAACACAATGATATAGAATCAAAGTCCATATTGTTAAACACCATGATATAGAATCAAAATCCATATTGTTAAACACAATGATATAGAATCAAAGTCCATATTGTTAAACACCATGATATAGAATCAAAGTCCATATTGTTAAACACCATGATATAGAATCAAAATCCATATTGTTAAACACAATGATATAGAATCAAAGTCCATATTGTTAAACACAATGATATAGAATCAAAATCCATATTGTTAAACACAATGATATAGAATCAAAGTCTATATTGTTAAACACCATGATATCGAATCTGTTAGAATGACACCATCCTTTATGAGGTGACAAAATCCATATTGTTAAACACCATGATACAGAATCAAAGTCCATATTGTTAAACACAATGATATAGAATCGGTTAGAATGACACCATCCTTTATGAGGTGACAAAATCCATATTGTTAAACACCATGAAATAGAATCAAAGTCCATATTGTTAAACACCATGATATAGAATCAAAATCCATATTGTTAAACACTATGATATAGAATCAAAATCCATATTGTTAAACACAATGATATAGAATCAAAGTCCATATTGTTAAACACCATGATATAGAATCAAAATCCATATTGTTAAACACAAAGATATAGAATCAAAGTCCATATTGTTAAACACCATGATATAGAATCAAAGTCTATATTGTTAAACACCATGATATAGAATCAAAGTCCATATTGTTAAACACAATGATATAGAATCAAAGTCCATATTGTTAAACACAATGATATAGAATCAAAATCCATATTGTTAAACACAATGATATAGAATCAAAATCCATATTGTTAAACACCATGATATAGAATCAAAGTCCATATTGTTAAACACCATGATATAGAATGAAAATCCATATTGTTAAACACAATGATATAGAATCAAAGTCCATATTATTAAACACAATGATATAGAATCAAAATCCATATTGTTAAACACCATGATATAGAATCAAAATCCATATTGTTAAACACAATGATATAGAATCAAAATCCATATTGTTAAACACCATGATATAGAATTAAAATCCATATTGTTAAACACCATGATATAGAATCAAAGTCCATATTGTTAAACACAATGATATAGAATTAAAATCCATATTGTTAAACACCATGATATAGAATCAAAATCCATATTGTTAAACACAATGATATAGAATCAAAATCCATATTGTTAAACACCATGATATAGAATCAAAGTCCATATTGTTAAACACCATGATACAGAATCAAAATCCATATTGTAAAACACCATGATATAGAATCAAAATCCATATTGTTAAACACAATGATATAGAATCAAAATCCATATTGTTAAACACAATGATATAGAATCAAAATCCATATTGTTAAACACAATGATATAGAATCAAAGTCCATATTGTTAAACACCATGATATAGAATCAAAGTCCATATTGTTAAACACCATGATATAGAATCTGTTAGAATGACACCATCCTTTATGAGGTGACAAAATCCATATTGTTAAACACCATGATACAGAATCAAAGTCCATATTGTTAAACACTATGATATAGAATCAAAGTCCATATTGTTAAACACCATGATATAGAATCGAAATCCATATTGTTAAACACAATGATATAGAATCAAAGTCCATATTGTTAAACACCATGATATAGAATCAAAATCCATATTGTTAAACACAATGATATAGAATCTGTTAGAATGATACCGTCCTTTATGAGGTGACAAAATCCATATTGTTAAACACAATGATACCTATTTAATTCATAACTCAGTTTGGTAATTTATTTCAGCTATTAAATAGTTATTAACAAGGTATTTTAATTCTAGAGTTATTTCCCATGTTTGTTTAATTGATAATTTTATAGTAATCTTTTGTGGCAACAAGATATTTTTGATATAGACAAACCAAGACCTGCTTTTCTGTTAGTTTAGTATACCTGTTTATTATATACTTCGTAGTAAATACATGTAAACTGTATCAGTCATCTGTCATATCAACATAAGTCATGGTTTGCACAGGTTTTTATCAAACCCATTATTTGTATTAACCGGTATGTCAAGTCAATTGAAAAACAGTAACTTGAGGTATGTAATAAATTGTATATGATATGGCTTTTTCAATATCACACACCTTATGAACCCTCAACTAATATAATCCCTCTAGCATTGTCTAGCAGAGCTCTTGGGATTATATTGGTGCCTCAGGTTGATACAGGTGTGATATTGAAAAAGTCGATTTATCTGGTTGTATTTTTGTAATTTGCATGATACAAACAAGTGTTTTCTTTGTTTCACCAGCAAACCAGAAGATGACTTGATAAGTTTGTGTCAAACTTATCAACCTCCGTTCATACGTTATGACGTCGCTGATATGTCCAGGTCAAAGTTATTTAGGCTGGGTCAATGTATTTGACGTCACAAAGCCATGATATGCAATTTTATTAAGAGCTGAGCAGAGTAATACAGACAGTGGGACGACCTATAATCTATTAGAAATGCAAATAATCTTTTTTTCCTGTCAGACATTGGGTCCTGCATGTAAGACAGTTTTTCCAGTCCTATCAACTGTTTGCAAACCCTCTTATTTTGAAAAATAATAACTAGTTGGATTAAGATACGCCTTAAACTTGACTAGAACGACCAGGTTAAATAAGGATATGACCATGGGGTGGTTTCATGACTGAGACCACATTTAATTTAAATTATCCTGCAACATCAAATAAATAAATGAGAATGTTGTACTAACACTTACCAATAAGACTTTATGGTTGGTTGTCTTATTGTTTGGCATAAGAACATTTAGATAAAAAAATAGACAGTGGCAAGCTACCTTTACATTAAAACAAATATGTGTGTTCACACATTAACTAAAATGAAAAAAAAAACTAAAATGATACTTGTTTTTGTTTAATTTAATTAACATAAATCTGGTCATTAGTTTTCCCTTAATAGAACTTTTGGTTTTCAATGCTTTTCAATCTACATAACTGATTTGGCCATCTATTGTTCCAACTGTTTTAATTCATGCACCACTTATTTGTCATATGGATACGAAACCCGTGTTTGCCGTACTAACAATGTTCTCTTTAAGGCACATTTTCCCGCCCTGGACGCGCCATTGCAGGAACCATGCGTCCTGATAACACTTGCCGAGTCTTGCCATCATCAGAATTATCCCTCAGTTATCTAAAAGAAGCAGAAAAAATGCTTCAAAATTGTTACCTGAAATTTACTTTCGTTTTCATTCATTGCTATGTGTAAAGATAAACCCAGAGAAATACGACAATAATTATGCTCAGATGACTTACACCAATTGGATAAACGCAGAGAAGATCGAAATCTGTTTACATCAGCACATTTACCTATTACCGGCAATAAATGTGTCAATAGAACTTTTGGTTTTCAATGCTTTTCAACTACATAATTGATTGTGAAGCCAAGGTAACCAGGACCAACAGAAATTTTAATTTTGAAGGCCCCAAACAGTAAAAATATTTGCCGGTCATTGGGTCTGACACAAAGACGTCATTTGCCCGACCCTCTAAATTTCTGCCCCCTAGGTCTGACAGGTCCGACGATTAGCTGCTCACTGATCTATATAAGTGGCATAATTTCTCTGACATTTTATTAGAAGGCAATGCAATTAGGAAGAATCCACTGTATAGGTTTTGTTTATACCTATCTTTATCTATATTTCAGGTATGTTGAAAGCAGTCAGCCAAAACAACAGATAGATCTACTGGAAAATGATGAATATACAAAGGTTATTAAACTTAATAGTACTGCCTCTCAATGGCTCAAAGATAAAATTGTATGGAAATGTTTTATTATGAGATCTTGATAGTCAATAATTGTTTTGTCCACAAGATCTGGTTGACAAATCTTTTAAAAGATTTATATGTATGTTTAAAAAAACTCATCATAGATACCAGGCTTAAAATTTTATATGTTTCATCTACAAAAGACTCATCAGTGACACTCGAATAGAAAAAGTTTAAAGGCTAAATAAAGTACATAGTTGAAGAGCATTGAGGACCCTAAAGGTTTGGCCAAATACAGCTAAGGTAACCAAGTCCTGGGGTAGAAATATTTTAGTATTTTGAAAACACAAGTTTTGTAAACAGTTAATTTATAATTATAACCATATCGATGAAACATTTATATATTGTTCTACCAATTCTGTAATTTTATTTTTTTTGTGTTTTATTTACTTAGTACTTTGGTTTTTTTTCATTGGAAAGGGATAGAGGAATTAATTTCTTTAAAAATGATGTTGTTATAACCACTTTAATTACTTCTTTAGCGTTTCAGGTTTTTAGTTCTTTGTTTATTTTTCAGAACGTCATTGAGAAATTTATGACTCAGATTAACAAATATCATGAGTTGTTTTTCCCTGTGTTACGATGTCTTCATTGTTTGGTCAGTAAACTTCCAAAGCATCCATTGGGTAAACAGGTATGGCTTATGTGAATTTAATTATTTTTGAAATAAAAAAAAAAAACATTTGTGTATTTTTTAGCTCACCTGGCCTAAAAGGCCAAGTGAGCTTTTCTCATCACTTGGCGTCCATCGTCATCCGTTAACTTTTACAAAAATCTTCTCCTCTGAAACTACTGGGCCAAATTTAACCAAACTTGGTCACAATCATCATAAGGGTATCAAGTTTAAAAAATGTGTCCGATGACCCCACCTGCCAACCAACATGGCCGACATGGCTAAAAATAGAACATAGGGGTAAAATGCAGTTTTTGGCTTATATATCTGAAACTAAAGCATTTAGAGCAAATCTGACAGGATAAAAATGTTCATCAGGTTTAGATCTATCTGCCCTGAAATTTTCAGACAAATCAGACAACTCGTTGTTGGGTTGCTGCCCCTGAATTGGTAATTTTAAGGAAATTTTGCAGTTTTTGGTTATTATCTTGAATATTATTATAGATAGAGATAAACTGTAAACAGCAAGAATGTTCAGCAAAGTACGATCTACAAATAAGTCAATATGACCAAAATTGTCAATTGACCTATTAAGGAGTTATTGCACTTTATAGTCAATTTTTCGTAAATGTTTGTAATCTTTTACAAAAATCTTCTCCACTTAATCTACTGGGCCAAAAAGAGTTAAACTTAGCCACAATTTTCAATAGGGTATCTTGATTGAAAAATGTATCCAATGACCCTGTCATCCAACCTACATGGCCGCCATGGCTATAAATAGAACACAGGAGTTTACTATAGAAGTCTAAGGGAAAATTGTAAAAAAAAACAATTTCAAATGGTCACAACTTGAAAACTAATTTAAATAATGATAAGGGGTCTTCAGTATCTATTGTAAGATTAAAAAAGGATGAGCTGCTTTTGATTTAACTACTGGGCCAAATTAAACCAAACTTGGCCTCAATCATTATTAGGATATCTAATACTATTTATTATGATTTTAACTTTATTTTACATGATTTCCAAAAACACAGTAGATACAGGTGAGCGACACAGGCTCTTGAGAGCCTTTAGTTTTTAATAAAGTTAAGATTTACTGCTATTTTCAACAGAAATAACAAAATTCACATGCATAAAACTGTAAAATGAAAATGTTTGCAGTAAATTTTGTGTTGTGTGGTACATTACAAATAAATAGGAAAGGCACAAATTTAAAGAAGGGTACACATCTTGCTCTTATCAGTTTTTAAAATGCAGATATTTTCAGTCAACAACTTTTCAAAGATGAAAGGACATACAGTAATAGCACATTATATAGGAATATTACAAGCTGCTAAAAATATTATGTTAATTTTTATGACATTACCTTGACTGACAGATTCATGTATATGTGAAAAAATATATCTGACCTGTTTTCAGTTGAGAGAAGTATATTCTATGACCCTTGGTAGTTTTATATGTGAAACTGAGCAGTACAAAGATGCTATAGAACTGTTAAAGTAAGTGACCTAACTGTAAACTCTATATACATATAAAATAAGGAGATGTAGTATGTTTTCTAATGAGACAACTATTCAACAGAGTCCAAATGACCCGGATTAAGCATCTATAGGTCGCTGTACCGCCTTCAAAAATGAGCAAAACCCATACCTTACAGTCAGCTATAAAATGTTCTGACATGACAAAATGTATGATTACAATTTCCAAGTTTTGTATTGAACAAAGAAAGTTCCTGCTTTGATGGTCTTTAGTCATATTATACACAGATAATATTTAAATTGTTTATACCATTACCAAGGTTTGAAATAATTTATAAGCATACAGTGCCCCTGAGCAACCTATATCAGCCTTTTAAAAATTGTATCTGTTAAAAATTGCCATACTGCAGTTACTACTGAATATAGATATTAAATTATTATTTATTTGCATTCATAAGTCCAAAAACTTTTTTTTTAAATACTTATATGATATAAAAAATTTCCTGTCATTTAAAGTTGACTTGATATCAAATTGTATGACATCAACGAGAATTTCATGTGAATTTAATTTGTAAAATATTCGTTTCACTTTAAATCCATATAATTACTTTACATGAATGTTTCTTCAGAATATGTACTTTTGATTGGCAGATAATAATCCAGAGGCCTTCCATAATTAGATTTTATTTCTCAATAAAATTCAACATTCATAACTGCTCATGCTTCCCATGATAATGTCACAACAATGCAAAGGAAAATAAACAAAAAACTTGACAAGCCTTGTAATTTTATGATTAAGCATAAATATTCTAAGAATTCTTTCTGTAATTTTATAGGGTTGTGAAAGCATTGATGGTGCACACATTTTTAGGATGAAGCACTTCCTCACTTAATGCAAAATGTGCTTTGATTTTACACCCCAATAAAATTACAAAAAGAAGCATTCAATTCTTATAAAGTCAATTGTAAATTTATTGTGAAATATTTTTTACTTTCTTTGGATTCATTTATTTTCGTGGGTACCAATTTTCGTGGATTGATGAAAACATGTATTTTCATGGACATTTAATTTCGTGATTTTGCCGAAGTCTGCATACTACCTTACGGAAAATTTGTAATTTGTTAAACATTTAAATTAGTGGTTCACCTTTACTTACGAAATCCTCGAAAATTGGTATCCACAGTATGTAAAAACCATTAAATTATGAAAACAGTTAAGTTGGGAGTATTTATACCACAGAATGATGTCAAAAGATGAACTAACAGAGTTGATGAAGGCCAGTATACAGGAGCTTGGACAAGATTTACATGACGACCTACAGGATATACCTCAAGATCTGGAAAGGTTTCTACAGAGATTTGACACATTGCATGGTATGTGAATGGGGTTGGGGTCTGACCATTTCTAGAATTTTAATTTTTAAGAATTTATTGCAGTTGTTATATTTATGGGCAATAATGACATATGCTTACTCAAGATTGCTTTCAGACTTATTGGCTTGTTTGAATTAGTGCTTAAAGTAACAGTTTTCACTATTTTATTTTATCAGAGAGTTGTGGGATCTTCTTCTTTTGACAGTTCGGTATCATTTTTGACCAGCTTATAGTATTGTGATGTCAGTCAGACGGGTGGATTTGGGGCTGGAAGGGAAAGTGGGTACCTAATTTGTGTGATAAATTCCTGCTACAGTTTTAACCCAGATCCCTAAAACTTCACAGGAAAATTGCACATATGTTTAAGTTGTGCACCTGTTATTATGAAATTGTTTGAGGAATTTTTTTCTCATTTTTGCAGACTTGGGATCTTCGTCATTTTTCAGGAAAATTTATGAAAGAGATATTTAAGAAAAATTCTTCTCCCCTTTCATGTAATTGCAACTACATTGTAAACATTCTACATTGATAAGTCACAAATATTACAACCAGCCCATTTGAGACTTTGACTAATTTTTAACCTTTACATGCAACTGTTTAATGATTACTGACAACAGGGGTATCTGGCACTCATGATATAGCCATTTTAACAACTGTTTAATGATTACTGACGACAGGGGTATCTGGCACTCATGATCTAGCCATTTTAACAACTGTTTAATGATTACTGACGACAGGGGTATCTGGCCCTCATGATCTAGCCATTTTAACAACTGTTTAATGATTACTGACGACAGGGGTATCTGGCCCTCATGATCTAGCCATTTTAACAACTGTTTAATGATTACTGACGACAGGGGTATCTGGCACTCATGATCTAGCCATTTTAACAACTGTTTAATGATAACTGACGACAGGGGTATCTGGCACTCATGATATAGCCATTTTAACAACTGTTTAATGATTACTGACGACAGGGGTATCTGGCCCTCATGATATAGCCATTTTAACAACTGTTTAATGATTACTGACGACAGGGGTATCTAGCACTCATGATATAGCCATTTTAACAACTGTTTCATGATTACTGACGACAGGGGTATCTGGCCCTCATGATATAGCCATTTTAACAACTGTTTCATGATTACTGACGACAGGGGTATCTGGCACTCATGATATAGCCATTTTAACAACTGTTTCATGATTACTGACGACAGGGGTATCTGGCCCTCATGATATAGCCATTTTAACAACTGTTTCATGATTACTGACGACAGGGGTATCTGGCACTCATGATATAGCCATTTTAATAACTGTTTAATGATTACTGACGACAGGGGTATCTGGCACTCATGATATAGACATTTTAATAACTGTTTCATGATTACTGACGACAGGGGTATCTGGCACTCATGATATAGCCATTTTAACAACTGTTTAATGATTACTGACGACAGGGGTATCTGGCACTCATGATATAGACATTTTAACAACTGTTTAATGATTACTGACTACAGGGGTATCTGGCACTCATGATATAGACATTTTAATATTGTCAGTTTTACAGAAAATAAATGATTGAATGTGAATACAATTTTGTTACGAAATAACTGTTTTGCTAGTAGAAGTAGGAAAATAATAAGCATTTAAAGGAAAATGTTTCTGATATCATGTTCCGTTTTAAAGTATATTGGTATAGGCAAGAGATGTTTTCTTTCTTTTACAAGAAATACCAGAGGAGGAAGAAGAAAATGACAGCCAAGAAGAATCAACATTACATTTAGAGAAAACAGATTTACATAACCTCAGAAAGGTAGAAATCATAAACAAGTAAATACAGTAGTACCTGAATTATATAATCCCCTTGGAATCAACATTACATTTAGAGAAAACAGATTTACATAACCTCAGAAAGGTAGAAATCATAAACAAGTAAATACAGTAGTACCTGAATTATATAATCCCCTTGGAATCAACATTACATTTAGAGAAAACAGATTTACATAACCTCAGAAAGGTAGAAATCATAAACAAGTAAATACAGTAGTACCTGAATTATATAATCCCCTTGGAATCAACATTACATTTAGAGAAAACAGATTTACATAACCTCAGAAAGGTAGAAATCCTAAACAAGTAAATACAGTAGTTCCTGAATTATATAATCCCCTTGGAATCAACATTACATTTAGAGAAAACAGATTTACATAACCTCAGAAAGGTAGAAATCAGAAACAAGTAAATACAGTAGTACCTGAATTATATAATCCCCTTGGAATCAACATTACATTTAGAGAAAACAGATTTACATAACCTCAGAAAGGTAGAAATCAGAAACAAGTAAATACAGTAGTACCTGAATTATATAATCCCCTTGGAATCAACATTACATTTAGAGAAAACAGATTTACATAACCTCAGAAAGGTAGAAATCATAAACAAGTAAATACAGTAGTATCTGAATTATATAATCCCCTTGGAATCAACATTACATTTAGAGAAAACAGATTTACATAACCTCAGAAAGGTAGAAATCATAAACAAGTAAATACAGTAGTACCTGAATTATATAATCCCCTTGGAATCAACATTACATTTAGAGAAAACAGATTTACATAACCTCAGAAAGGTAGAAATCATAAACAAGTAAATACAGTAGTACCTGAATTATATAATCCCCTTGGAATCAACATTACATTTAGAGAAAACAGATTTACATAACCTCAGAAAGGTAGAAATCATAAACAAGTAAATACAGTAGTACCTGAATTATATAATCCCCTTGGAATCAACATTACATTTAGAGAAAACAGATTTACATAACCTCAGAAAGGTAGAAATCCTAAACAAGTAAATACAGTAGTTCCTGAATTAAATTCACCCTTGGACGACAATTTTAATTTTATCAGTTACTATTTATTTGTCTGAAAATGCTTTTTACAAACAACTTCTCCCTAAAACATGACCAGCAATCACATTTTTTGTCCATTAGTGCTGAATTTTATTTCAAAAGAATGATGGATGTTTAATTATTGAACTTAATGGCAGTGACCACTTTGGTCATAAATCATAAGGGTTACCCCTGGGAGATTAATATCCTTCATATATCATCTCTTAACACCATCATCATTGTTATTATTTAACAATTTAACTATTAATGGATAAGTGATGAATTATTTTTTACGTTTAATAGCCAATTCAATATTGCATTCTCTCTCTCTCTTAAGTAATCAATACTTTTGGAGCTTAGATTTCTTGTATGTTTTACTGTGTTTGCAAGTTAAAAGTCATGTGTGAAAATAAAAGAAATTATGATACAAGTTTGCATAGTACTTGCCATACAGTTTAACGTAGATTCTATATCTTAGAATTGGCCATTTGACATCTTATTGCCAACATATTGAATCTAAAATATACATGTATACTGGTAGTAAGATTTTTAAAGCAAATTACACTAACACAGGATAGGAGATGCACTTGGAATTAATCCTTTTCTTTTAAATAATTCTTTACAGAAATTGATGGAGGCTGGGAAAAAAAGTAAGAAGTTATCACCCTATGAAAAGCTTCGATTGGAAATTGTAGATTATTATGACAATGTATTCAGGTTTGTTATTATATGATAATGTCCTTTGAAAATTTTAATAAAAAGATATCACTAATTTATTAAATAAAGTTTGGTATTGTAAAAGTCTGTTATATTTGGCATACCAATGTAAGTGGATTTCTAGGCTTACTAAATTATGAATTTCAATTCCTATAGAAACGCATACTTTACCAGGTTTTGTTATGTGCATAATTAAAAAAAAAAAAAAAAAGGAGTCAAAGATTTTTCATAATTCACAGAAATAAAAAAGAAACACCAGTATAGAAATGTTAACAAGTAATTTTAAACTATGGCCATCACTCATCTAGAAAATGTAGTGAAATGAGAATTAAATAGTAGCTTGTTATTTCTTATTTTACATTGATAAAAATTAGAAGACTGTCAATAAATGTTTTATTCATGTACCTGTGCAAATGAATATTCATCTTATACTAAGTGTTTTATTTTTCTAGGAAATATCTTGACCTACATCTTTTCCTTTACATGAAGTGTTTTATGTTTCCCGGAAATATCTTGTCCTAAATCTTTCCCATTATATGAAGTGTTATTTTTCCAGGAGATATCTTGTCCTAAATCTTTCCCTTTACATGAAGTGTTTTATGTTTCCAGGAAATATCTTGTCCTAAATCTTTCCCTTTACATGAAGTGTTTTATGTTTCCAGGAAATGTCTTGTCCTAAATCTTTCCCCATTACATGAAGTGTTATTTTTCCAGGAAATATCTTGTCCTAAATCTTTCCCTTTACATGAAGTGTTTTATGTTTCCAGGAAATATCTTGTCCTAAATTTTTCCCATTATATGAAGTGTTATTTTTCCAGGAGATATCTTGTCCTAAATCTTTCCCTTTACATGAAGTGTTTTATGTTTCCAGGAAATATCTTGTCCTAAATCTTTCCCTTTACATGAAGTGTTTTATGTTTCCAGGAAATGTCTTGTCCTAAATCTTTCCCCATTACATGAAGTGTTATTTTTCCAGGAAATATCTTGTCCTAAATCTTTCCCTTTACATGAAGTGTTTTATGTTTCCAGGAAATATCTTGTCCTAAATCTTTCCCATTACATGAAGTGTCATTTTTCCAGGCAATATCTTGTCCTAAATCTTTCCCTTTACATGAAGTGTTTTATTTTTCAAGGAAATATTTGTCTTGTCCTAAACCTTTCCCATTACATGAAGTGTTATATTTTTCCAGGATTTATGTGTCTCGTCCTAAATCTTTCCCATTACATGAAGTGTTTTATTTTTCCAGGAAAAATGTGTCTCGTCCTAAATCTTTCCCATTACATGAAGTGTTTTATTTTTCCAGGAAAAATGTGTCTCGTCCTAAATCTTTCCCATTAGATGAAGTGTTTTATTTTTCCAGGAAATATCTGTCTTGTCCTAAATCATTTCTATTACATTATTAAAGTGTTTTATTTTTCCAAGAACTGTCTTGTCCTATATCTTTGCCTATACATGAAGTGTTTTATTTTTCCAGGAAATATCAGTCTTGTCCTAAATCTCTCCCATTACATGAAGTGTTTTATTTTTCAGGAAATATCTTTATAAATCTTACCCTTTACTTGAAGTGTTTTATTTTCCAGGAAATATCTGTCTTGTCCTAAATATTTCCCTTTACATTTACTTTTCTAGGAAATAACTGTTTTGTCCTAAATCTTTTCCCATACATGAAGTGTTTTATTTTTCAAGGAAATATCTGTCTTGTCCTAAATCATTTCTATTACATTATTAAAGTGTTTTATTTTTCCAAGAACTGTCTTGTCCTATATCTTTTCCTATACATGAAGTGTTTTATTTTTCCAGGAAATATCAGTGTTGTCCTAAATCTCTCGCATTACATGAAGTGTTTTATTTTTCAGGAAATATCTTTATAAATCTTACCCTTTACATGAAGTGTTTTATTTTTCAAGGAAATATCTGTCTTGTCCTAAATCTTTCCCATTACAATAATATTGATTATTTCTAGATATATCTGTTGTGTCCTAAATCTTTCCCTTACATGAAGCATTTTATTATTTCAGGAAATATCTGTCGTGTCTTAAATCTTTCCCCTTATATGAAGTGCTTTATTATTTCAGGAAATATGTCTTCTTCCCATTACATTATTTTTTTTACTTTTCCAGGAAATATTTGTCTTGTCCTAAACCTTTCCCATTACATGAAGTGTTATATTTTTCCAGGATTTATGTGTCTCGTCCTAAATCTTTCCCATTACATGAAGTGTTTTATTTTTCCAGGAAAAATGTGTCTCGTCCTAAATCTTTCCCATTACATGAAGTGTTTTATTTTTCCAGGAAAAATGTGTCTCGTCCTAAATCTTTCCCATTAGATGAAGTGTTTTATTTTTCCAGGAAATATCTGTCTTGTCCTAAATCATTTCTATTACATTATTAAAGTGTTTTATTTTTCCAAGAACTGTCTTGTCCTATATCTTTGCCTATACATGAAGTGTTTTATTTTTCCAGGAAATATCAGTCTTGTCCTAAATCTCTCCCATTACATGAAGTGTTTTATTTTTCAGGAAATATCTTTATAAATCTTACCCTTTACTTGAAGTGTTTTATTTTCCAGGAAATATCTGTCTTGTCCTAAATATTTCCCTTTACATTTACTTTTCTAGGAAATAACTGTTTTGTCCTAAATCTTTTCCCATACATGAAGTGTTTTATTTTTCAAGGAAATATCTGTCTTGTCCTAAATCATTTCTATTACATTATTAAAGTGTTTTATTTTTCCAAGAACTGTCTTGTCCTATATCTTTTCCTATACATGAAGTGTTTTATTTTTCCAGGAAATATCAGTGTTGTCCTAAATCTCTCCCATTACATGAAGTGTTTTATTTTTCAGGAAATATCTTTATAAATCTTACCCTTTACATGAAGTGTTTTATTTTTCAAGGAAATATCTGTCTTGTCCTAAATCTTTCCCATTACAATAATATTGATTATTTCTAGATATATCTGTTGTGTCCTAAATCTTTCCCTTACATGAAGCATTTTATTATTTCAGGAAATATCTGTCGTGTCTTAAATCTTTCCCCTTATATGAAGTGCTTTATTATTTCAGGAAATATTTCTTCTTCCCATTACATTAATTTTTTTACTTTTCCAGGAAATATATGTCTTGTCCTAAATCTTTCCCATTACATGAAGTGTTTTACTATGATTCTGCAGCAGACGTCAAGAGACAATTGAACTCTTCACCCAGATCAGCAGTACAAACAGCATTGGCTACTCCTCATCATTATCTTCAGGTAAACATGCTTTCTTATGTTTTTTCTTTTTGATCTGCAGTGCAGAATGTTAATGGTAAAAATGGTTAAGACATTGAGCATGAAAACTAGGTCAGAGGGATAGACCTTTACACGGATTCTGACTCTCTATGTATGTACATCTTTATTCAAATTCAGATAATCTTACAACTTGCATTATGAAATATGAATTAAGATGCAAAGATGTTCTTCCTTTAAACAAGTTTATACATACACCAACAACTTTCAAGCATGCAAGAGGGGGGGTCGGACCTTTATCAGGACTCCAGGATCGGGTGTTTTTAAGCTTGGGATTTCGGGATCCGGGAATTCTTTTTTTGAAATTGGGGATGTCGGGATTTAAATTTCTTTAAATTCGGGACCTAAGGATTTCATGTTTTTGAGCACGGGATTTCAGGATCAGGACCCCTCCGACCCCCCCTCCCATGTAATTAGGATCATATTAACTTGCTTGTCATATGGATCAACTTAATAAGCTTGTGAGAAAGGATGATACTTTTGGTGAAATAATATAGGCTTAGACCAGCAGGGTACCTGTGTCCTAGACATCAACACCATGTGGACACTTGCAGTTCCCTTTAACTTTCAGGCAAATAATACTCTTGACCTTTTTGGATAAAGAAAATGTTGGTTAACAAGACAGCAACCCAGAAAACATCTATATGTTGAGCCTGCAACATTTTGTTGTGAAAGCGAGACCGAGATCCTAGATTCCGTCAGCGGCGTCATATTTAGGTTCAGTCTGTGGTTATTTAGACATCAATAACTTTATCAAACCTTTTGAATTTAAGACAGAAGCTTGTTCATGTTGTTTATGATGAAAAGACAGTATCCACAGCAAAATTTTGAAAACTTTTATTTCCATTTTCCGTATTTTACTGATATGGACTTATTTTTTTTTACAGTTAACAACAAAAACAAGTAGATACAGTCTGGGGTTAAAGCCTTCATAGAATTTTATGAAACTTTGGCAGAAGCTTTTTTATGATTAAGAGATAATGTCTGAAGCAAACTTTTGAAAATATATTTTTTTCATTTTTAGTATTTTTCTGATAGATGGACTTACTTTTTAACAATTAATATTTACAGACAGTCTGGGAATAAAATTTTTTGACATGATAAAGAAAAAGTCTTCAATTTTGTATTTTGCTGATAAGTGGACTCACTTTTTAAGTCAACATTACACTTTTACACTGACCTCAGCAATCGCAGACGAGACGCAGGGTTCTGCAGAACCCCGTACAAATTTATTTCATCTTTTACTTGTCCATGGCTTATGCAGTAAAGATCCAAGCTTTAAAGAAATAATGAAATATGTAGCAGAATTCAACAGAAATGAATATATGGAGTTGTGGGGTAAACATCAACCTTTCAATTGATGTTTTTAAAAGTATACATATAAATGTCACTATTGTAATATTATCAGCTGAAAAATAATTTGAATAACAGTTTTTAAAATCTGAACTGTATTACGGTAGTAATGGAAGAACAGCAAGAGCATGCTTTACATCAAACTTGTATTGTATTGTGATTGATTGATTGTTGGTTGCTTAACGTCCAGTGGCTATTGTATTGTGATATTTCAGTGTAAATGTTGTGACATGGAGCCTGGTATTATAAGTTCTACAATGCCAGACCTCTGCATAGTATATAAATTACATCTGGAATGTACACAGCTGATTAACCTGTTTGATTGGCTACAGGTAAGTGTAATATCAGGGAAACCATATAATAGTTGAGACCATACTTTTTATGCATTTTGTTATTACAATGAGCATAATTTGTCTCATGTTTTGTTTGTTTTTTTTTAATAACCAAAATATCCTATATCATGGTTGTGATATAGAAAGAAGATATATAGTGTAGTAATTTATGACAGCAATCTGTACATACTTGACTAAAGCAAAGGAACAGTTTTTGTATTGATGTCCTTCATCTCAGTGTCTTAATGAGGCCTAAAACACAAAAAGCTCTTTAATTTTCCTTACATTGAATAAAATCAACATGCATTTCCACGCACTCACTTGGATACAATTCTTTTGTTTTATTTAATGTATTACAAATAATTAAACACACAAACTCTTCACCAGAGACCAAATGACATAGAAGTTAACAACTATAAGTCACTGTACAGCCTTCAACAATGAGCAAAATCCATACCTCATGGTAAGCTATAAAAGGCCCTGAAATGACAAAAGTAAAACAGCTCAAACTAGAAAAATTAACAGACTGATTTATGTACAAAACAATGAATGAAAAACAAATATGATTTACAGGAACAAACGATAACCACTGAATTACAGGCTCCTGACATTGGGACAGGCACAAACAGAATGTGGTTGGGTTAAACATATTTGTTGGAACCAAACCCTCCCCCTAACATGGGACAGTGGCAGTACAACATAAGAATAAACTATAAAAATCAGTTGAAAAGGGCTGAACTCATCAGATCGAAACAAAGCAGAAAAACAACAAAACACAGACCAGTAATGACATCCCTCACAACAAAAAAGACACTTAATTACAGATCTGAGAGTACTCGTAGTTATGAACAGCTAGTTCAAGGCCAATAACAATTAATAAATAAATCAAGTATCTAAGACTAAAATTTCAATCAGTACATACACATCCAACTTACAATGGATTTAGTGTAAAGACGTCATTAATAGTCAGAGAAAAACGTTACCTTGTGCAATGCCAAAATATAGGTATTGACAGATTGTAGAACTGTGAATGTGTATATGTAAATAACAAATATATTAAGTATGGTTTAAATTTACTAATAACAATATTTATACCAATAAAAACAATATTCAAAGATCTAATTACAGTGTTGAACTGGTAACCTTTTAGAATAAGTTTATTTAAAGGATCAATAAGTTTACAAAGATTGTATCTAAATTTACGGACTTCGTAAACAACATCATCGTAAAATTAGGATGTGCTATCCCATTTGTAATGATTCATCTACAGGTACAGCCAACTTCCAAACCAAATCATTGTATCTATGGAAGAATTTAGTAAAAGTTTAAGTAATTTGTGGTAACAATATCCTTGACTTAGCAATTTACCAGCAATACATAGATGACGTTCATTGAAATCCAAAACATCACTACACACAGGGGCATAGCCAACGAGTTGTGATTTATAAACACTGTAACATAGTATCAAAGGAACATCACCATCCAAAATAGGAAAAGTAACAATAGGAACGAAAATTTGTTCCTTTGTCATAAATTTTTGTGTAGAGTTTCCAGTGTAAAACTGAAATATCTAATTAGATTTAAAAACGGACAAGAAACAGAGATGACAGTGTATATTTAAATCAAATTATTGATTGTCCCATGTCTGGTTCCAACTAAAAATAGTGAAATTATACTGCACTTCAACATGACATACGCATACCCAAAGAACTTTCATATGTGATACTTATTTCATATACATTCTATTATTTGGCTTTTTTTATAACTAGAAGTTATTTAGCATATATCTCAAACTTTATTATCCTTAGCTTTAACATCAACAAATATTGTGCTTAATCAGCTGTTTGTATATTATTGTATCATGACAGGCTTTTGTGACTGTTGTAACAACAGGAGAGGAGGAAGATGAAGGAAAGAAGAAGGCAGTGGATAAAGTATTACAGTATCCTTAGTGTAAATCAACAAAGTGGTTTAAACTGTCACATGATAATGTGCCTGTCCAAAATTAGGAACTGTGTCAATACTTTATCATATTTTAGTATTTATGTCCTTTGGGCTTTTTGTGTGGCTGATAGATATTTTGATGTTAGGTATGGTATGGTATGGTTTTGACATGGTATAGAAAAGGATGTTAACAGATACAAGACACTGAAGAGGGTCATAATAGGGGTACCTTCATGACGAATAACCGTAAAAAATATGGCCACATGATGTTAAGGATCATAGATTTATTCTTACGAGCAAGCTCCGAGCATGCTGGGAGGATGCTCGGAGCTTTTTAAGTAGGCTCTTCTCAGCAGTTAATGTGACAATAATTATCATCATCCATTAAGACCACTTCTATGATAAGGAAAGTAGAGCATTATAGAGGAAGCTCCATTAACACCTGTGTAAACATCTGGTCTATTTAAATACATTTTGAATGAAATTTTACAAAACTATAAAATAGATTAGAAATTCTTCAACAGTGCTGTGTAATGCTAATATTGGAAAGAAATCTCAAGTCTCCACCAAAAGTAAAAGTCATTTAAATATTATAAGATTTGAGAATTTTTTTATTATAAAAAAAGGAATAATTATTAAATACAATAAGAAAATATTTAAATGACTAACGTTTTACCAGTATATTTCATGGGGAAAATAACCAGATGTCTGTGAAAATTTGTTAAAGCTAGTAAAACCTGTATGAATGGACACCTATAAAAATAATATTAACAGAAGTTACTTATTCATGAAATAGAAGTAATATTTGAAACAGCCTCGTTTTCAACATAACTTGTATAGGTAATTTTGAAAATTACGTGTTTAAGTAATGCCCCTAACTAAACAATGGTAATATGTTTTTTTAAATAGCAAACTAAGTTCTTTTATAGAAAATTATGGCTACTTTAAGAAAAGTTGTAATTCATTAGTGGAAGCCTGGTTTGAGGGGGTAATACCACCATTGTTTTCCCTCTAGTACGTCTCTCTTTACTTGGCTTTTTTTTTTTATTGTGCAGATTTAGCTTTGTTTTAAATAAAGAAATACTTGGCATGAGTAAAATTATTTTCCCCCTATAAGTCTTTGTTTAAATGTCATGATTGTTATATTTAAAAAAAAAATGTGCAGAATTTATCTATGTTTTAAATAAAGAAATACTTGACATAAATAAAGTTTTATCCTGTCCTGTACTACAGTGAAAATATAGCATAACTTTTCAGTGCATATAAAAAGTAAACATCACCAGAAGTTAACCAATCAAATTCTCTCCCCCTTTTTTCCCTGTAGAATATGGTATATTTTTATTGCTTTGAAACACCCAAGATACATGTTTACGACTCAAAAAAACTTTTCTGCAATGAAATGGAGGGTAAATTTCAAACAACTGTCAAATTAAATGGAATATAAAAAAAGACCAACCCTTTTCGCATGAAACTGAATGTACTATGTTTTGGTAGTATGGTTACAAATCAATAACCATAGTTTGTGTCTTTGATGACTTTTATATTTCATTTTATATAGTATAAATTTAAAATATATTTATATTTTAAATATAAAATTTGAGTGTTTTTTTTTGTATCATGTGAATTGAAAGAAAGGATAATTATTAAGAAAATGTTTTAAAATCATTTTCTTTCTGTGAAGACTTGATACCAAGCATTGTACAGTAATATTGAAGAATTTCTCATCTATTTTATAGTTTTGTAAAATTAATACAAGATTTGTTTGAATAGACCAGATGTTTACACAGGTGTTAATGGAGCTTCCTCTATAATGCTCTACTTTCCTTATTATAAAAGTGCTATAGATTTGATTGACATCTTAATGGATCATCATAATTATTGTCACATAAACTGCTGAGAAGAGCCTACTTAAAAAGCTCCGAGCATGCTCGGAGCTTCCTCGTAAGAATAAATCTATGATCCCTTAACGGTAATTTTTTGTGCATGACGATAAAATGAACATTTTCTTTATGACGGTAAATAAATGGCTGATTTTTAATGACTCCCGTTAAATTCTTTCCTAAAATAACAGTAACGGTTAATTATTTGAGACCTCTGACGAATCACGATAAAATTTTAACCAATTTGACGCTAACGGTAGCCGAAAATGGCCATTTGACGCCTGACAGTAAAGGGCATTCCTACCCTCACTGAACAGTCTTCAACAAAGAGTTAAACTTTTACTGTATAGTAAGCTATAAAAGGCATCAGCATAACACATTTTGAAATAATTCAAAAGAGAAAATCAACCGCCTGATTTATGGGAAAAAACAAAGCAGACTGAAACCAACAACAACAAAAAAACAGGCTCTTGATTTGGGACAGACACAGGAAGAAAATGGTCGGGTAAAAAACAGGCTCTTCTTGACTTGGGACAGACACAGGAAGAAAATGGTCGGGTAAAAAACAGGCTCTTGACTTGGGACAGACGCAGGAAGGAAATGGTTGGGTAAAAAACAGGCTCTTGACTTGGGACAGACACAGGAAGAAAATGGTCGGGTAAAAAACAGGCTTTTGACTTGGGAAAGACACAGGAAGAAAATGGTCGGGTAAAAAACAGGCTCTTGACTTGGGACAGACACAGGAAGAAAATGGTCGGTTAAAAAAAGGCTCTTGACTTGGGACAGACACAGGAAGAAAATGGTCGGGTAAAAAATAGGCTCTTGACTTGGGACAGACACAGGAAGAAAATGGTCGGGTAAAAAACAGGCTCTTGACTTGGGACAGACACATGAAGAAAATGGTGGGGTAAAAAACAGGCTCTTGACTTGGGACAGACACAGGAAGAAAATGGTCGGGTAAAAAACAAATTTGTGAGTCCTCAACCCTCCGGCGAACTAGTGACAGTGTGTAACAGCACAACATAAGAACAAACTAGAAAGTTACCGTAAGTTGGGAAAAGTCTCGATTCATTAGATCAGCACTAAGCACACAAAAAGACAGAACACACACATTTCCGATCTAAGAGTAGTCATGGTTACTGTAAACAAGTGCAAAACCATGTCCACTTAGTAAACAAACCATGTTTTAGCAGACTAAAGTATGACTTGATAAGTCCCTGTTACAGTTTAAGAAAACCTCCATGAAGGGGTTATTCTCACTATACTTGTAACTATCAAATCAAATTTTTCCCTACAAAAATTTCTGTATTTTTGATTACTGATGATAGAAAAAATTGTTTGGTAAAGTGCAAGTTATTTTTGAAAGAATACACTGGAATTTGATTTTCAAAGCATGATTTCCCAATATCATTTTGATGTTATGTACTGACCAAAACATTCTTCCACTGAATTACAGGCTCCACCTCAACTTGAAAAGATCTGATCTTAATCTGATTGATTTTACACAAAATTACTATTTTTGAACTTTTAAATTTTGGTGCAATTGTTTGTATTTGGAATTTCAACCTTTAAACCTTTGTGTTTGAGGAATTGTTAAAAAAAACTGAAGCAGTGCATTGGATACATTTTAGAATTTTTTCTCCAATTTACCAAAAAATTGACAGTAAGGCCACACCAAAATAGATAATTGTTGTTCAGATTTTTCAGATGGAAAAAGAGGGGTGGCAAGAGGAATTTTTTTTTCACAATGAATATGATAGAGCCATATACCTTTAATTAAAAGATTATTTTCTGGTTAAAACAGAATTTAACAACAAACAATAATTTGTTGTATAATTCCAGTATATATACTTTTAAAATGACAAAAAGCCAAATTAAGGTAACAGTTAATAGTTTCTCAGATGTTTTTTATAGTGAATTTCTTATATACCAGGCTTTAAATTATTTTAAATACTTCCTTAACCTTTGTCACCAGAGCTCGATTTATAAGAGCTGTATCAGAGTTACAGTTCCTTGGATTTATAAAACCTACCAAGAGGAAGACCGACCATGTGGCAAGGCTAACATGGGGAGGATGTTAAAAGACAGAACAAGCAGTCTGACGTTGAGGGGATAATTGAACATATCTACAAAATTCACCAAGGCTATAGCGGAGAGAATGATGGAATTTTGTTGGATGACTACAACAGATCAAAATCTGCCTCAAAAAGATTACATTTATGGAAAATGGCAGTATTTGCAACCATTTATGGAAAGTGGCAGTATTTGCAACCATTTATGGAAAGTGGCAGTATCTGCAACCACAAATATGTTTTAATCAGATATAACCTGTTTCTTCAGCAGATGTAAAGTTATGACATTAAATTATATTTTGGCAAACTTTTTTACCTTCATTATCCAACAACAGGATTATCTAACTCTGACATCCACACATAGTCTTTATCAGTTAAGGCCAAACAAACTGAACACCAAACATTGCCAAATGTGGAATCGATACAAAATGTTCATCTTGCATTGACATTAAAAAATATAATTGTACATAGGAAAATATGCAAACTGACCAAAAAACTATTACTTTGGTATCAGTAAATCTGTATTTGGTAATGTAGAGATGTCAAGCAAAATTTGCAAATATGTTGTTGCCATGCAATTAATTTATATAAATTTTAAATCTTTCTACAAAGTGCCTGTTGAGGAAGGCTAATTAAGCACAGGAATTTTAAATAAAAAAAGATGAAGAACCTTCTGATCATCTACATTTCATTTGGAATTCATTTATCAAATATTATCCTTAATAAACTGTTGACACAAAGATATGTTTCACCTGTCTGCATAAAATGCAGAATTAGAAAAGGCAATCAGATGGACAGCAACATTGCTAATTAATTCAAAGTCGTTGTACTATGAACTAGTGGGCAGGGCCTCAAACGGGTCAACAAACTGAGATTTATGGACAGTAATGTAACTTTATAGAAAATATAATTCATAAATTAACATAACATAAGTAGTTCCTATCAAACTAAATTAAGCAGAAAACTTAACATTGAAAATTGCTAATTAATTCAGTCACTGGGATATGATCTAGGGAGCAGGGCCTCAAAATAGGTGACAAACTAATATGTACTGAT